TTTTAAAATTTTTGTTTGTGCTGTAATGTCAGGTTGCAGTTACTAGAATGCCATCCTGCAGATGACTAACTTAATGTTGTTACTTACACACTTTTTTAAATACTCACCCTTTAATAGACTCTGCCCCACTTATTAGAATAAAGGATCAGCCTTTTTAAGTTTTTTACTACATCAGAGCTAATTGTTCTTAGTTCCCAGTAGTTGTTTACTTCTAAGATTGTTTAAATCTGCAGAAGATCTGGAGTTAGGGAGCAGACTGGTGAAAGCAGCTCTTCTGCAGTTTTTTTAGTTTCTCATGAAAGTGAACTAGATAAACTGTAAGTCAAACAGTGATTTGTGAGACAGGAAAGAAGAGGGGGCTGCATGAGTAGACTCCAAATAGAGGATTACAATAGTAAAAATCCATTTGAGCTAGAAAACAAACTCCTTGGCTGTTGAGAACTTATGAAAATGTTTTTGGATAGCATTTGATGTGGTACAGAATCAAAGTTGGCAGGTGCCTGTGCCCTTTAACTTAAAACTTGTTCATATAAACCAGCTACAGAAACCATGGTGACATTGGTCTCACACTGATCAGTTTTTGCCAAGGTTATTCTAGTAGGGTAGACAGCGTAATTATTAACTATTTATTGCCACTGGAGAAGTAACTCAAAGTGTATACAATTCTGGAACTAGAAATTATGAACTTGATAAAGACAGGTAGTTGTTCTTTTCTCCTTCCATTGATACTTTTAAGTGTTCCGAGAGAAGGAGAATTGTGTTGATACGACTTCCACTTTGAGTGTGTGCAGAGTTCACGTGACTGATACTGTTTTGAGAAGCAGAAGAAAACATTTCATCAGGAGTAAGACAGTCTTGGTTGAATACTTGGCTTGTTAACATATCTTCTTTTCTTTGAATAATGGTCAACACCTTTATATATAGCTCTGTGTGGGTAGCAACATTTAGGGAAAAGAGTTGGACTACTATGTCTTCTCTAGTATTTTCTCAATATTTATACTGTAGAAAAGCCACTAGGAATTTCATCTTTCAGATCGTTGTGTTACATAAAGTAGAGAATATTACAGAAGTAGTTTGAAGGTAGTATTTTGTCTAAAATTGGAGTATTTCTATTCTGAGATTTTATAAACCTTGGAAGAGGATGGGCTGGGATCGTACTGTTAAACATTAGTTAATTCACAACTTCTTTTGTAAATACATTCATACTTTATATTTCCCATCTATTTTATTAGGTTGACAAGATTGTGGTCATAGCAGAAGACACAAAGAATATAGGAAATACTTTCTTCAAATCGCAAAATTGGGCAATGGCAGCTAAAAAGTATAGTAAAAGTTTACGGTAAGGCTCTCATCACTCAATCAGGTAGTTCCTGAAACCCAACTGTTATTAAGTAATGATTTGTGCATTTAAAAGGTGCCTGGTGCAGTGCTCTTCTCTTTTTTAAACAAAGAGCCTTCTGAATCTTGAAAACATCTGGTTGATTTTTAGCTACGTAATCAAGTAGGTCTTTGCTACTCATGGCTAGGTAAGAGGTATTGCTAGGTAAGGCAGGAAGTATTGCTTAGAACTGACTAAATACTCTGTTTATATACTCTCACTGTGCTGGTACATACCTGGGAAGAAAAGCATGGTAGTATCCAGGGTAGTTAATGGACAGCAAGGAAGGAGAAACTTCCTCTATGATTTATAAAAAGCAGTAGGTTTAGGAAATTGATAAGTTCAAAACACAAATGCGGCCCTTATTCATTCATTGCTATATTTTTTCTGAGGGTCCATACCATGATCCTGACTTCATGTATAATTCAAAATTGCTTTCAAAACTATAGTCTTTCTGCTTTTGTTTCCATTGTGCTCCTTTAATATTTTCATGCTTTTTGCTTTAAGTATATGAACATCTCCTAAAAATAAAGTTACACTTACTGACCTTTATCCCAGCCTTCTTAATGATCCCTGGTTAAGCAACAGTGACAATAAGGAAAGAAAAAAAAGTCAGGCATATTTAATGCTTCAGCTGAGGTTTTAGCAGACTGGGTTTAAAATAAATGTCATCTTTCTGAACCAGAAAATGAATCCTTTAATTGCAGATATTTACCCAAGATTCAGTGTCTCGACCTGCCCTCAAAAAGCCCATCATAAAAATAGAAACCCCAAAGTAAAAAGGATTTCTATGCAACTTCTTGGAAATCATACATAAAAAAGGCTGGAATGGATCTTTAAGGATCTTTGTGTTGTATCTGTCCATTTTCTCTCCCCATTCTTAGGTAAATGCCAGATATAATTACACTATCCCTTCCAATTAAGTGTCTTGCTCACTTTTAAGCACAACCAGTGAAGGCTCTTCCTGTCTGAACTGCTTTGGTGCTTATTTGTCCTTGTAGGCGGAAAGCCTGGTAATTTTTCTAGACTAACTGAATCTGATCTTCCCAGTTTTTCCTTAGAGGCTATACTTTTATGGACATGCCCTGTTATTGTATCTTAGAATCTAATACTTTATGAGGATGGTGACCTTTAGCTGGCACTTCACTAGAATGGATAGGGAAAGAATAGCTCTTACCAGGGTATCCCATGGCTTAGGTACAATTTACCTGGCACACCATCTGAAAATGCTGATTTTTCTTTTCACCTACAATAACCCTTATAATCTTCTGCTCTTTTCCTTGTTTTATTGCTTCTTAGCCTTTAAAAAATACATTTTATATGTTGGAATTGACACCTTTTTTTTGGAAAAAAATGTATTACTTCCTGTTATCTCCCTTGATACTTACTTCACTTACTTTGACTTGGAAGCTCTAATCTTATTTCCTGAATGGTTGCAGTCTTTCATGTTTTGATGTGATTTAGAAATATTATACATGTGTTCCATTTGATTTGAACATAATACAGATTTGTGTTATAACTCTCCTTACCTTTTTACTGTTTGCTCTTTCTTCTTGTTCTCATCTTTTGCATGATGCTTAGCAAGTGGAACAAGCACTGGGACTACATATAATTTACAAGCACAAAGCATCTAATTCACTTTTTAAGTATTGCTAATTTTTGTGATTCAAAGGTTGTACATTAACAACAAAAAAGACAGGGCATGCAAAAAGTGTACTTCCATAGGCACTGATATACAAAGCCTACATTAATTCATACCATGCTTAAAATATGAATGTATGCAAGCACGACAGAGGTTCTATCTAATAGACAGTTAAGGAGTTAAAAGTTTTGTATCCACAGGAATAAAAACCAGACAGCATTAGTGCATTGCAAATTAAGAAATGTGCTTTCAAAACAGATGTCGTAACTGCTGTGGCTCTGTCCTGAACCAGTGTCAGTTTGAAGTTCAGGAAAAGTCACAAAGGAGAACTGCGGGAAGAAGGTGGTGTCACTACTGCTCCTAAACCACACTTCTTTGCAAAGTAAAGTTAGCTTCAGATTTTAGCCACAAATGGCTAAGCTAATGAAAAGATTATTGAGGGAATTCAAGAAGAGATGAAGCTTCTTGTGAATGTGGAAGGTGCAGTAGTGGTGTTGATGTTTTGGCACTGATGAGCAGCATGTTTTTTGAGAATAAACTGAGATTAATTCTGATGTTTTCCTGCAGTAGAATAATGCTTTTGTCCAAGAAAAATAATGTACTAGTACAGTGGAGTTACAGAAAAACATTCCTTAGTGAGTTGGTTTTTATTGGGGTAAGTTTTATGTATTTAGTTTAATAAAGATTTGTAATAGTTGAATTGAAGCTGCTTTAGAAGTAGTGTGGATAGGCCAGTTCACAGATAATCTGTGGAGAGATAGCTAAGGGCAGGACAAAATGGAAGTTGGAACACTAATCCATGTTGTGTGTGAATCTGTTTTTCTGCAGGTATGTAGAAGCTTCTGAAGCAGTGGCAGAGGAGGCAGACAAACCCAAGTTAAAGACTGTTGCTTTGACCTGTGTTCTAAACATCGGTGCTTGCAAACTAAAACTGTCAGATTGGCAGGGAGCCATTGAGAGCTGTTCAGAGGTAAATGTAATGTTCAGTATTTTGGTCAAGAATTGGCCCATATAGACACAAGACTACAAAGCTTTATAAAAGTCTTCTGACAAGCTGAAGATTTGAAAGTAAACAACTAGAAGCTCATGGTGAAGTTAGTACTAACTTTCCAATATGTGGCTTTTTAAAAAGATTTTGAAATTGAAATGAATCATTAGAAACAAAAAAAAGAGGGCTGTTGCTTACTGGCAGGAAAAACACACATTATTGTCAGTTTGGTTTGCACAGCTACTGCTTACATTACAAAGAGTTAAACTGTTCAGTGTTAAAGAGTTAAAGTGTTCAGTGAAAGAGGAATACTTTTGTCTGGAAGACGAGTACGAACAAAATGCTGTATTTGCCTCTAGATTTGATGGCCTTGTATTTTATTCATGGCAGGGACTTTCTAACTAAATAACCTTTCAGTTGGCTTAGTGGTGAAATAAAATGAATAGGAAGAAAGAAACATGGCAATGCTAAATCTAGAAAAAAGGAAAACCAGTAGAATTAAAGAAAAAAAAAGGAACCATGACATGGGCATAGTGAAAATTTAGTAAATTTGAGGAAACTGTAAATAATTCAGTAATACTCCAATAATATGAAGGAAACAGGGGAAAGAATGCTCTTATCTGTTAGCAGAGGATCCTGAGCATCATCTCCAGCTTTGTGCTGAAAAGAGTCTCAGCTAATCTGTGTATGAGGTCATTAGAAAGCTGGCTTGCTTTCTAGCTTGCTGATGGTGGAAAACCTTCATAAACCTATATTTAGAATGGACAAATAAGAAATGAGGAAAGAAGAAAATAGGTAAAATATTGTGTAATGTGGTATCTGTTACCTAGAAAATGGTAAAAAATGAAACAAATGTATTACAGGTAGAAATTACTATAACTAATAATACTTGCCATTGTGGGGAGAAAATCACACTTCCTTTTTTCAAGAGTAAACAATTATTAGATGAAGGCAACTCCATAGCTATAATAGACTTCTCTAAGTTATCTTATGTCTCATAACAGTGTCAGTGCTTTATTCACAACACCAGTTTCCTAAAATTAGCTAATAAAGTTCTAGGTAATTGTTACACTTTCAATTTTATGATTTCACAAGGCCAAAAGCAATTTAAATTAACAATCTGGAATACATGCATTGTTTGGTGTAAATAATGAATTATGAACAGCTGAACCTGTTCAAAGAAACCTTGCATTGAAATAGCTGTAAGAACAATGGTCAAGGTAAAACCAGAGAATGCTACCTCTGTGTATACAATCCAGACAACTAATTCTTAGCACAGAAGAGGCTGAAGGCTTTATAACAGGTGGATCAATAGGAGCACCCACAGTAATACTTCCTTTGTATTAACAGCCAATACCCAAGTGATTTGAAAAAAAATCAATGTGTTATCTGTTAATGATTTAAAGTTAATAAATTAAATTAATAAAGCAACACATTGCTGTGAAGATATTTTCTTTAAACAATGAGAAACAGCATTCTTTAAAAGAATAACACACACCACTATGGAACTAACTGCAATAAAAATGCGGATCTTTAGAGGCAATGTAACAGCTAGATGACTAAATTATCTGACATATTCTGAAAAAATAATCAAAGTAATCAAATAGTGGAACAATCTCTTTTCCCAACCACTATAGTTCCTATTTTGATATTGTCATATTAGAGCTGGCATGTACACATTATTGAAAACATTCAGCTCAAAAAAGGCATAATGACTGGAACTTGGCAAAGTTCCTGAAGCATGATGAGATACATTGCTTGCATGTATTTTTCTAGCCCACAGTGAAAAAATCTTTACAGGAAATCTCTGTGGTTTTTTTATGATGCCATTTGAAGAGGTTTTGGTGCGAAGGAAGGAGCTGCAATAGAGAGTTGCCCTGTGAGACTCAAGGTTAGGATAATTTGAACTGCAGCAACTCCTCAGCCTTGACAGTTATCTCTATAAACACACACAACAGCTGTTCCATTTGGGCCTCATGTGCACTCATCCTTCACAAAAGACTACTTTTGCTGCAGCAGTACTGAAGCTGATTACTTGCTATTCATTATAGCATTCCTTTTTACACAGTTATTGTTTTGACAGCTTACCCTCAAACCAACTGTGAAGATTGTCTGCTGGTGTGAATTGTGCCATTTGTGGAGATGGGAGGCTGTGAAGTATAAGAAATGTTAATGTGACAATTTTATTAAATTTACAGGCTCTTAAAATAGATCCAGCAAATACTAAAGCTCTCTACAGACGGGCTCAAGGATGGCAGGGAATAAAAGATCTTGATCAAGCACTGGTAATGATCACTTCTTCTTTCTTTTTAAATTTAAAAATCTGTCAGATCATTAATTTCTATTTTTCTTTTATTTAAGGCTGATCTTAAAAAGGCTCATGAAATAGCCCCTGAAGACAAAGGTAAAATAAGCTGTTTCTTTTAAAATTCCCTTAAGAATTTAACAAGGTCTCCAGGGTAGTATTCAGTTGGAATTCATACCAGTGTGATGCCTAAAATGCTAGCTTCTGAAACACTGATGTTCTGAGCACAGAACCCACTGAGGTGGAAAACCTGATTTTATACAGCAGTGATGCTTCTGTTGCACTGGAAAACCTGCTTATGTAGGTCAGCAGCATTCCTCTTGAACTATATCTGTATCTCACAGGGCTCTTACTAGCTTAATTTCCTGCTCTAATTGGGTGAGATTTTTATCTCCTAAAGTTCTGTGTTGGCACCAACGCCATGCTTGCTGCATGCTCCTCTATGACATTACCGTACCAGTTGAGACAAAGCAAGGGACAAGGTTTTTGCTGCTAGTATCTGACCTGATCAAAGATTAAATGCAGTTTTATGAAATAACATAGGTAAGTTCCAGCAGTGAGCTGGTGTTAACCTGTGAGGAGACCTAATGTAAAGAGGTTACTGTAACTCTGTCATTTTCTTTTTGAGCAGCTATCCAGACGGAAACACTCAAAATCAAGCAGAAGATAAAAGCCCAAAAGGAGAAAGAGAAAGCAGCTTATGCTAAAATGTTTGCTTGATTTTTTTCCCTAAACATTTAAATCTATGCACTAATTTACGCAAAAGGATAAATGGAGCTGCTTCTTTCATTTGCTCTCTGCTGCAGTTTTCAGTGTTTACAACACAAAATCTAATAATAAAGATAAACTGTTCAAAGGTGATGTAGTTTTGCTTTTTTTAAGCTGTACTAACCTGTGTTTTGCAACTCGGGTATTTTTCTAACGTGTAAAGCAATTGGTGGTTGTTTTCACAATTTAATAGTGCTTCCTAAGCAGCTTGGTTTCACACAAAGCGAATGTAGGCATTTTCACTGTTCCTATTAGAGCAGGTCTGGTTTCTTGTAAGAAACAAAAATGCTAATAGACATAGAATGAAGATGCAAATATTATTTTTTAGAACCACTTTACAATAGGTATTCCCTATTATCATTATCAGGAAAAAAAAAAAACCTGAAAATTTGATGTAAAATGTAACACTTTAAAGAGGTGAGCTTTCTAGACTGATTTATTTTCCTGATTGCCAGGTATGATTACATGTAAATCACTCCATCTAGAGAGAGAAAATACTTTTTTGAAAGGTGGGTATGAAATTATTCCACCATATCCACAAGTCTGGATATGGCTCCTGTTATCAGTGAACTTTAGCAGGAAATTCCTAGATGCAAACCTCCTTTGTCAGTCCTGATAAGAACTTTTGCCTGCCATATAGCTCCTGTAAAGAAGTGCTATTTAAATAAGGCTAGGGTTTAACCAGAAGGCACCAACTTTCCATTTAATGCAAAAGTCAAATGTAGAATTCAGAATGGCACATTAGTCTCAAACCCTTTTAACATTTAAGTCAGTGCTGTACATTAATTACACTGCAGCATAAAATACTCCAACATATTTGTTGGTGATCAAAAGTCACTGAATAGATCTCCTGTTAGTTTACATTCCATTATAAGCTGGTCCTCCTCCACCTTCAGGTACCACCCAATTAATGTTCTGACTTGGGTCTTTAATATCACATGTTTTGCAGTGGACACAGTTCTGAGCATTTATCTGCAGCCTTGATCCTTCTCCCGTTTCCAGAGGAACATACTCATAGACCCCTGCAAAGACAAGAAGGGAGCTATCACTTTGCTGGACTTCCCCCTGCATCTATATTCTACTTACCAGCAAGTGTAACAAGGGAAGTATATTACGAATATGACTTAATTCCCTTCTAACATGTTTAACAGTTATTTCATCACAAAAGTACTGCTAACATGTTTTAAAACTTTCAACTGAACCCCCTTCTGGGAGGAAAATTGGGATAGAATGCTTGAAGTAAGTAGGAGGCCAGGTGGCCCCTTCCTACTTAGTCTTTCATTTTGCAGAAACAGCTGACACACACATTTTAGTTACCTACCTGCTGGACAGAATCTTTGCTCTGGTCCGTCGAATACAGCCAGATTCCTGCTCACAGGGATGCTGTCATCTTTGAGAGTTAAATGAGGGGGCTGGTCATGTTCATGGTTTGTACCACTTAAAGCCACAGAGGACAGGAGATCAAAACTGATTTTTCCATCGGGCTTTGGGTATTCAATAGGAGTGCAGTCTTTGGCTGGCTTGAGCTGAGCAAAATCTGGTCCTAAATATATTTTTAATAAATTTCAGTATAGAATTACTATAACTTGCAGTTACTCAAGAAAAATTTAACTAAGCTGTTTTAACCTCCCCTGTCACAAGAATGAGGTACTTCATAAAAGGTAGCCTTTTTCATGAGACAAATATCTATACCAAGTTATACTAAGCAGTGTTTTAATGCCTTAATTTACATTGTGTGGTAGCTGATATGACAATCTGCTTCAGTGTTTTATCATCCATTTCTTTTGTACACTTTAAGGCCTCACGACTGAACCAGATGTGCACTAGCTGAAACTATGATCAGAAAAGACTGACATATACATTTAGAATAATCTTCAGGAGATAATGAAATTACCTGGATGTTTTAATGTCCACGGTTCCATTCCTCTCAGTAGCCAATAAAATATGCCTGTATATATCATTCCTCCATACACACCAAGTATGCTGTGGCAGGATGGTCGGATGTTTCTCACTGCATACAGCTCTTTCCAGACCCAAGAGTTTTTCAGGTTCTCTTCGTATTCTTGCACATCAAGTCCTAAGACAGTACATTACTTGTTAGGTACCCACAGTACAACAAGACTATTCTTGAAATAATAAATGCTGAATAAAAGCAACTGCTAGCAATGAAATCAGCAAAATGAGAATTTCAGGACTGTAAGCTAGGAATATACTAGACAACATGTTTCAGCCTCTTGAATCAAGAGACCTGTTTTGTTGGCAGACATGTACTGTTCCTTTGTAGCCTCTATTAAATGAGCCACAAGCAGCATTAAATTGTCTCAAGCCTCAGCACAATATAATCAGACAGGTGGCTACATTAGCACCTCTGTGGGAAAGCAGATACTCACTCACGGAATCTGAGTGCTGACCAGTCTATCCGTGATCCAAAGCCAGGTTTGCAATTCTAATGTCAAGTTCAAAAGCTTTTCCCAAAGAAGTTTTACAACCAAAGTCCCATTTCAGTAACTATGGCTATGGCCCAATGGATAATGCCAATGGCTAGATAATTTCTCCCTTTGTAATCAGCACATTCAAGAGATATATTTGACTGCAAACTTTTGATTGAAACTCTTTGATTGTATTCTTTATAAATACTACATTTCACACTTGATACATCTACCACAGTGTAGTTAAAAGTCAAGTAATTATCTTAATGTTTCTTCAAATGAAAATTATTTGAGAGGTTCCCTTTCACCATTCTCCATTACTACTGTAAAGGGATAAATGTTCTAAAGAATCAGTTCTAAGCCCTGTCTACATATGAAAAGCATGCTTCAATCCATATTTCCCATAAAGCCCATTATCCCTGCAAAGAGAGAAAAGTAGGCTTTAGTAGTCCAGTCTTCACAATACTGGAAAACAGCATATAAAACCTGTCCATAATCAAACAGGAGTGGCACACTACCCACCAACAGTGTTTATAGCTTCAGATGGAGTCTAAGCATTTTAGCATGTCTAGGTGAAGTTTTAATTGTTCAGCACACCTTCTGTGTATGGTGCATTTCAGCTGAATGAGGCCTGAACCCACCAGTACAGAGAGATGATTTCTAAAATAATCATCATGTGGCACCTAGCTGTAGCGTCTTGTCTCTAGAGTGACTGAAATTCTAATTCTCTCTCTCTCCCTACAGACTTTATTAACAGATTTAAAGGGACAACTAAGGCGTAAACAAATCACTACAAGGTGGTCAGGACCAGGTGATTACTACAATGAGCATGTATTATGTGTAAAATAAAATACATGTAGTCTCTAACTGAGACAACTAAAAGATTAAAAGACAGAAAAAAGAACTGAACAAAAACAGGATCCTAACAACAGTAAGAACAAATTCGAAAAATCTCATGCTGTTTTGCTTCACTTAATCTATTCCTTTTTTTTTTTTCTTGTTTCGGCAGGCTTTCAGTAACTTTTCTGAATCATAAAGCACTACTTTTTATTGTGTTTGTAGGAACAAAACTATTCTTGTTTACTTATACAGAAAGCATAAGCTTACTTTTCAGATGGTCAATAGAGCTTCTAGCAGTAGGATCAATATTTATGGATAACAGCAAATATTAATTTCATAAATAATTTTACATTATCAATAGTAAATAAACATTTTTAACACACCCATTTCATGATTTATTAACATTGCCAACTAATTAATTCAGCCAGATTAATTAGTGCTGTTGGTGGTGGTTCTAAATGAACAGAAGGTAGTTACAACTCAAAATACAGTGATCTTACCTATTGTCTTTGATTGGAGATTTTCATTGATTAATCGACTAAAAATGGCTTCTGAAGCCAACATGCCACTTTTCATTGCAGTATGTGTTCCTTTGATCTTGGGAACATTCAAGAGTCCAGGACTGCAACCAATTAATAATCCACCTGGGAAGGTGAGTTTGGGTATTGACTGAAGGAAAAACAGAAAGAAAGGTTTTGTTCTTTTTTGTTTTTTTTTCCTGTTTGTTGAAGTGAAAATAACATTCTAGGAATTAAACTGGCATAAGGCTTAAGTGTCCTTTCCAGACTTGGCATGTACACCAGTTACTCCACTTACTCATGGAATTTGAGCATAGTATGCACATAGGAACACAGACACTGTACTTGTGCTGAGTATGAAAGTGGTATTTTCCTTATATCCTCTCTACAGCTGCCTTATCTGCAGCAAAACTCCAGTAGTGTCACCCACCAATATTGTTTTCCTCCTTCAAGCTCAAGTGAATTATTTAAAATAGAAAACCCAAACTCCCATTTGTTTCCCTGATTTCCACACAGTAAGTTGTACTTATCACACCTCACAGTGCTTTTTTCCACAAATCTTTTTCTGTGAAACTGCACAATGCTATCATGCCTGTCCCCCTCCTCCTTATTTTAGAAGTTGCTCACAGTGAACAAATACATTTTGGTGCAAAATCACCATCTTGCTCCCATTCTGTAAGCATAATGTCATAGAGTATGGTTAACTCACAAACTTAACACAGCCAAGATTATTTGCAAGTATCAGGTCAATAGTATTAATATACTATGTCATACACCTATATTAACTAAGGAATACATCAGCTACCAAGTTGATTAAAATTTTAACAGCTTCAAAATGCAGACTGATTGCAGAACTTTAAGCAGAAAGCTCTGATCAAAGCCTAAATCACAAACTACTGAAGGTAAGTTTTGTCTTAACCTAGCATCCTGCTTTTATTAAAACTGTCTGAAAGAATTAATTTTGCAGTAACCTAAATACTAAGCAAGTAGTTTCATGAAAAATACAAGAAAAAATTTATCTCTTGGAATTTAAGGTAACCCAAACCAAAAGTTTTGTTTCTTCTGCTTGTTCAATTGTTACCCCTTTACTAGTCATGCAGGACTGCTTACTCTTGTATAGCAATCACTAAAAGAAAGTTAAATTACACAGCATTTCCTCTATGTTTTAGCAATTTGTTTAATCAGAACATAATGATTTGGTTCATAGGAAAGGTTATTCAGGCTGAAAACACAACTACAACATACTTTTCTGTGAAAATAAGTTTTAATTTCAGCTACATAACAGTATTTCAAAGGGATTAAGTATGTGGGATGTTCTCTCTTTTCTCAGAAAACAGCCATTCTGTGTTATCTGTTAGGATTCAATGGTGCAGCACTGACATAAGCATAGGAAAACTTCTTGACTGACTGAATTATAAACAAAGACGGTGATCAAGTACTTTTCTTCTGCAAGCGCACATAATAGGCACATAGTGACCCATCATACTACTAATGAATAAATGAGATTAAAGATGAGTCATGTAACACAAAACGTAGCACATACTGCAGCTTTGGTAGTAATTCTCATTATTAATACTATGGCACTTGGTACCTGCTTTCACAGTCAGTGGAAGAAACACATCATGCTCCTGAGATACAGACACAAAACAAGACTGCTTTAGAGAAGGGGAGGCACCTGCTCCCTGCAGAGTGTCTCCTGCTGGCAGACAGGAAACCTCATGTTCTTCCTCCCCTTTAGCTCCAGATCAGGGCTTAAAATCTGTTAAGTCAGTCTAATATTTCACACTTAAATGGATTGTCAGTATAAAGGTTTTTCCCCGATATTCATAGTATACACTACTCAATAACTGTAACCCCTTTTTCTCCACAAAACTAAACATTTCAAAAGTTTTTGATAAAATAGAGGCAAAATAGAGGGTGCATGGGAATTTAGGTGCTTTGTTTTGCAATTTTAATAAATATAATAAATAGTAGCTACAGAAATTAGGTTACTAAACTCTGATCCTTCCTTCCACATACATTAAAAAACACATGCACTCTCTCTTCCCCTTCACTCTGTGCTAAAGATTGAAGATCATGGTCATTAGGTTATCTATAACAAAAAAGCTGAAGTCTATACACTTATTTGATGCAATTCTGTTACCAAAATCAAAAACTGGAGTTAAGGAATGACTTACATAAGAAAATATTCCTGGACTACAGTGATACAAATGAGTCAGACTGCTAGAGTTATTAATCAAAGCAACACATGCAAAAGAAGAGCTAATCTTAAAACTCTTCCTAAGTGAATCATCAATAAAGCTTTTTTTTACTGAAGCCATGTATTAAAAAAAGTCTTTTAGAAGCGTGACTTCATGATCACCTAAACAAATCTATCTACAGGAAATTAAAAAAACCAACAAAGCAAAATATCCTTTTACATTAGGAACAATGGAAAGTAAGGGACATATTGATTTAAATCCAGCAAAGATGTCCAAAGATGAGGCAGAGATGTGCAAGATCTGTAGTTCTACTGTGTAACTTAGCACAATGTCTGTAAGTGACTTAAAAAATACTGTATTTTTTCAGCTATTATTTCAGCAAAGCTACTCAGGCTTTGAGTATAAAGAGGGTGCAACTAAAGTCACACTCTGGCTACTTCACCAAAGCCAGAAATTCAATCACTATGTGTGATAGAGCAACCAGTGCACAGGGTGGAAAAAGAAGCCACTCTTGCATAAAAATCTAGATTAAAACATCTTGGTATTTTTCATGGTATCTGTGCTAATAATGGAGTGGCAATGGTTTTTGAAATAAGCCAGTAATACAGCTGTGTTACAATGTGATATGACATATTTCCACTGCAGAGTGGACAAAATCAACGCTCAGATTGATTAAATGTGCAGCATGGGTGTAATCAAGAAGTTGCTTCCTGAGCCCACATGACTCACTGCCAGGAATGCACACTGGGGTCAAAGCCTAACTCCACATGACTGTGACAAGAGTGAAGCTATGATGAAACTCCGCTTGTATTGCAAAACTGTGTGAAGCCACGTTTATACTAACAAGAGGTTCAAAAAGGAAAGGCAAAGTAGTCAAAGGGCAGAGAGCAATGGCCCCACATACACGCTGCAGATCACGAATACTCAGGCTAGTTTTAAGGTCCAAACTGAAAGGAGCATCTGGAAGACGAGAAGCTAACAGGTTGAATGTACTTTAAAACTGTTAAATGTAAACTCCAGACCACTTTTTGCAAGCTTTTCCAGCCTTTTCAACTAACCCTAGTCAGAAAGGTCAGTATTTAAAGGGAAATGTATTCATCAGAAAGTCTTGATGAATACATATTCAAAATTTTACCTTTTGCACTTCTTAAGTTAACAAAATGAACAAAGTATTCCACCTCTCAAGAAAGCAGAAATTCAAAGCTGTGCATGAAAGAAACTCAAGGTATTCATATACTTGATAGGTAAAGGCTTACCTGCCAAATTCAGGTAAATCAGCAATTTCAGCACCATCAGTGATTTAAGGCTCAAGCACTGAGATGGAGTTCTTTTTGCTGGGATAAATAAGTAATTTGGAAGACCTCACAGGAACAGATCAGTGGTATTACTCTGTCTTCGCCAAGATTTCAGGCAAACAAAAGATTGTCTGTGGCATCTTTGCTACTGAACATACTTGACTGCAATACAAATTCCACTTCACTGGCTGCTCATGGCTTGGACAAACACTCTGCTGCGTAAAAAACTCTCTGGATGTCTGGGCTCAGAGAGCGTTGCTGAATGGAGTTACATCCACTTGACAGCCAGTCACTAGTGGGGTTCCCCAGGGCTCAGGACTGGGGCCAGACCTGGTTAATATCTTCATCAATGACCTGGACAAGGAGATTGAGTTCACCCTCAGTCAGTCTGCAGGCAGCACAAAGATGGGTGGGAATGTTGATCTGCTGCAGAGGGATCTAGACAGCATGGATCTATGAACCAAGGCTGATTATACTGACATCCAGTAAGGCAAAGTGCTGTGTCCTGTCCTTGGGTTACAACAGCTTCATGCAGTGCCTTAGGCTTGGGGCAGGGTGACTGGAAAACTGCCCAACAAAAAGGACACAGGGAGTCCTGCCAGCTTAACATGAGCCCAAGCAGCCAAGAAGGCCAGAGCATCCTAGCTTGGATCACAAATAGTGTGGCCAGCAGGACCAGGGCAGTGATTATTCCCCTGTAGTCAGCACTGGTGATGCTCTATCTTGAATCCTTTGTCCAGTTTTGGGCCCCTCACAAGACATTGAAATGCTGAAGTGTGTCTAGAGAAGGGCAATGGAGTTTACAAAGGGCCTGGAACTCTGGTCTTATGAGGAGCAGCTGAGGGAGGTGGGGGTGTTTAACCTAGAGAAAAGAAGGCTCAGGGGGGACCTTATTGATCTCTACAACCACCTGAACAGAGGGTGCACTGAGGTGAGGGTCGTCTCTTCTCCCAAGTAACAAGTGACAGGAAGAGATGAAAGGGGTTCAAGTTGTGCCAGAGGAGGCTTAGATTGGATATTAGGAAAAATATCTTAATGGGAAGGGCTGTCAAGCACTTGCACAAGCTGCCCAGCGAAGTGGTTGAGTTGCCCTGCCTAGATAAGACATATAGATGTGGCACTTAGGGACACGATTTAGTGGTGGACTTGGCAGTGGTGGACTAGTTATTGGATTAAATGATGTAAATGGTCTTTTCCAATCTAAATGTTTCTATGATTCTGTATTTCATTTAGAAAGTAAAATGAGTATGTCAGAAGATTTTCAGTATGACACAGCCTAAGACTAGCAAACTTCAGCAGCCAGTACCCAGCAAGACAAGAAGCTTTTTCTGTCCAGTAAAACATTTGGTATAGCACGCAACCCAAGTCTACAGCACTAAATACATGGCCATAGAGAACTCAAATATAAAGACTTTGTGAAAAAAATTACCTGGATACCACCTTCATTTAATGCTCTGGCACCGTAGGCAATTCGTGTTCCACCCTCCAAAGTAGGCTGTACACTAGGATGGTGCTTCCACCTCTGAAATTCCCTAAATGGATTCAAATAGGGATTTTGATAATCTAAACCAACCTTAAAAAAAGAAAAAAGTGCACATTAATAAAAATAAGGTATGAAATTTCAAAAAAAATTTGAAATTAAAGCAATTGCATATTACCACATCAAGTCTTTAAATCTATTTTATACTAAAGCAACCTCAGGATCTTTCTACTTAAACTACTGCCAAAAATATATTCTATTAATGGTACAGCAGAAGCAAATCCAAAAATTTGCTGCTACAAGTCTGCTCTTGTCCCCATCTGAAATATGGAAAACATTTAATTTCATTGTAACCTCCTTTCAGCTGTCTTTGGTATAAAAATGATTAAATTAAGCATGATTTAATGGGTGGGATAAGCAGCAAAACTTGTTTTAAATTTGTATTTCATACCTCTGCCCAAAAAAAGCTGAAAAAAGAGCTAAACAAATATTTTTTGATTGTTATGTCCTTGTGCTCTCATACTTTAAACAGTTCTTCAAATTGTTTAGTAGTCAATTATAATATCCAATTAGGTGAGCCATTGGCAGCACAGGGGAGCAATGATGAAACCAGAAAATGGGGTAAAATAGATTGCCAGTGGGCTGGATGCCCAGGATTCCTATACATTTGAGATTTTGACCAAATATATACTCAAGATACTCTTAAAAAGAATTCTCTTGCCAAATTTTTCTCTTTTGAGAAAGGGATTATTTCTAGTTCCTGGGAGCTTTATTGGAGATAAGTAACAAAATACATAATGAGTCAGCAGCAGTCAAGACTTTGGTATCTGTGGCAGCTCACTGCTTTTAGAGCAGTGCTTGCATCTGCTCTGCTGACAAGACAAAATTAATGAACAAGTTCCAAAATAAGGGTAAAATAACCCTACTACAAGAATCATCTCAGACTAAAATAAAGTCCAAAGACAAAAAAGTGATTGTGTGTTCACACAGAAGTTGATTTTGTCCGCTCTGGAGAGAATATGAATGTTACTGGTTACCTACCATCCTCTGTGAGAATCAGAGCTCTCAGCCCATCTAAAATCAAACAGAATTTGAGAACCTACTGTATGTACTTATTAATTCCAATATTGGAAAACTGTACAGGACAAGTATGTGTGTCTGAGAAAGCTAATGAATTTTTTTTCAATGCTTCTTACAAAACAGTTAGACAAAAATAGAATTTTTCCACACACTTTGTAATCGTTCTGAAATCTAGAAGACAGAAGTGTCAGCTCAGTCCCATGCTGCTGAAAGTCCAATTTGTATGCTTGACTCTTACACCATCTGTGTTGAAGCACATGCACAGGGTAAATAGTGAATTTTTCATTTTGAACTGTAGGTGATAGAAAATATTTCCAATCCTTGCTCCTCACATCACCTGGCTGCTAGAATGACACCAGACTATCTATCTCTCGAGCTCTCACTGCTTCTGATAAAGTGGCAATAAGCAGGAAGAAGCTGCCTGTCCAATTCAGAAAGGCAGCTGCTAAAGAGGGCAAAGCCAGCAGTGGTGGAGAATACCAGAAAGAAGGTGAAGAACTCAGAAATTAAAGGGATGCTAGTAGCATTGCAGTGCTTCCACTTTAGACACTTCTCTCAAAAAGTGGAGTTACACACAAGGTTGACATATTAATTAGGAAATGGAACTTTACAAAGGGCATGTGATTTAGATTTCCTAACTTACAAGAACTTTTTGAGCACACTTTTGATTAGTCATTTGGTTTTGCCATTACCAAAATTTGCTTGGTTTGCAAAGAAATTATGAATAAGTTTTCTAGTTGGTCTCAATAAAAGACACTGGATTAAAGATAGATTAATATAACAGGTTAGCCTTCCCTAGTATGGGCATAAGCACACTTAAGATTGAGAAAAGATTAAATTTGCTCTGTTCCTATTCTTGTATTTACATTTTCTCGTTAAAACAGAGAAAAGAAACTGCATAAAATGCAGATCAAACAACATGTAAGAATGAAAAAACTTCACTTACCACAAATCCAAGAGCAACTAAAGGCTCACGCTCATTTAAGTGATAAAGAAAGGATCCTCCATATGTATGTCTGTCTAATGGCCAGCCGACAGTATGTTCCACTCTTCCTGGTTTCCATTTACTTTTATCAATAGTCCATAACTGAAATAAGGATGGCAAAAAATTACTTCAGTAATGGCCTTTCAATAACATATTAAAAGACAAACACACAATTACATATAGTACTGATAGATACTGAATTTACTCCTATGAGCAATGCAAAAATTCATACAGCAAAATACCAACTGTTCAGTATAGTTAGTTGGATTACCATTGTTTTCCCAATACCTCTCTTTACATGCTGTGTATCAGAAAATGTGACTGAGACTCCAGTACTACACCCAAAATTTTCATTCAACCACAAGATTCCTAATATTAGTGATTTTGACAGATACTTCTGCCACAGAATGCAATGCTTGTGTTGACCTTTCTCTTTGAAAGTATTATTTTTTCATATGATTCTATGAATTATCTTGTGAGTTTTTCAAGGTCAGGACAAAGCAATATGCCCGCATTGATCTAAATATTTTCTGTCAAACAAATTGTCCCATCTCTGCTGTCTCCTACACGTTTTCAGTGCTCCACTGACCCACGGTAAACTCAGAGAAGCATTTTCACGTTTTCAGGACTGAGTCCATTTTTTGCTCATTTCACAAAAGATCTTTGCACCATGGAGGTACATGCCAGGCACAGTCTAATGACAGGAGGGCAGTTGAGCACCATAGATCAGCTCAAGCATGGAGGGCACATCTACAATACTGTTCCAATTTAGATTAAAGAGCATATTTTTGAGCAGGACTTCTGATTCCTCGCACTTACTGTGTTTTGACTCACATCATACACCAGCAATGAACTGGATTCCTTCAATGTAAAACTAAAAGACGGAGTCCTAAAAGTCCATCTAAAGCATTCCAGACATGAAAGGGCACTCAGTCCATGGGACTAGATCACAGCTAGTCCAAAGCAAAAATAAACCTGAGGCGTGCACAGTACAGATAACAGCTCATCAGCACCAGCTACTTCAGATCCACTCCTTTTGGACTGCACCATTTGCTAAAGCACACAGTCTCATCTGGAAGCAAGGGAGCTCTACCGTAAAACACTTCTTTAATGACAATTTCAGTATTAGAAACTGTAACTAAGATTATGTCATATTTACAGAGTGGATATCCTATACAGAGTGTAAACTAATAATTTAACAAATATTTTGTAGCTCTAAGCACATATTAAAGTAATAAAGAATATGTTATAGTCAGAACTTGTAAACAGAATTGTTAAAATTATGCAAGTGGTACCTCTTTCAATCCAATGCCATAGCTCTGGGGTTGACAATTTTCCCTTAAATTGTATTTTTTGTACAGCTGTTTGGCTAGATGTCCATGACAACCTTCAGCAAAGACTGTGACTTTAGCATGGAGTTCCAAGCCTCTTTCAAATGTAGCCTGCAAAAATACAGCATTTCATCAGCAGTTAGGTCTGTGCCACACCAAACTTACAGCAAGAAAATGGAGAGTAATAAAGTGATTTTACACTACTTGGTAACACAGCTCAGAAGCTGCAGACCATTGCAAATGATGGCTCTAGTTTAGTTGTCTTTTCCACCTAACCATGATGCACCCCTGGCAAGTCTTGGAAGGGGATTCCAGCAGAGCAGCCCTACAGCAAATTTTACCTGTAACATCACACTTAATTTTTGCTCATTACAATAAAACATTATGTGTGTGTGCCCCACAGAGTAGACAGAACTACACACATGACTTAGACTAGACAGAACTACCATATCTGAAAAACCTGAATAATCCCTGCTCCCAAAAGGACCCACTACTTCAGAATAATGAAGTATACTCCAATCTGGCACGTTAAAACATACAATAAAATTAAACTAAATAAAATACAACTATAAAAAATTCTCATAAAAAATTCCAACAGGGATTGAGAATCAAGTAAGAGGAACTGGCATACTGCTGTATGAGTACATCACCTGCATCTGTGAGCACACTGAACAAGAATACAGATTACGTTTACAAATTTTTTATAATGAAAAAAAGCTTGACTTCAGTCAGAAAGTTTGATGTTGAAAAAGACAAGGAAAACAGTTTTGGATTAACTTCTCCAGCAGTACTCAATTAAACCATCTCAAGGTAAGCCAGCCTAGGTTCAAAATAAGCTTACTGCTTTAGTTTTCAATTGTTTCTTGGGCGCAATCTGCTTGTAACTTACAAATGAAAATATTCCCTCTAGCTGAGAATTACATTTAAACAGGAGTCACGGGATTCTGTGAATTTTTTTGTACTCTTTGAATTTCTGATTGTCAATATGAGCATGAATTAATTTTACAAAATACTAAACAAGGGTTACCTCTTGAATATATACTGTCCACTTTGAAGTAGCTTTATATAAAACAAATTAACTACAACTCCACATTGTAAATATTAGAAATTCAATTATTTGAAGCATTTCAGTAACATGACAGAGCTGTATTACATATTTAACAACCTTCTCCAGCATCTACACAAGAATCAGTGTGCAACTTGCTACAATGGTTTTTTTCCACTGTTATTTTTACTTGGTTGGTGCTGACTGCAAGGTGAAAATCTATTCATTAACCACAGTCTATCTGATTAGGCTCTGTATAAACATATTGAAGATACTCTTGCCTTGGAGGTTATACAGACTATACCTATTTACCTGAGCCTTTATGCACTGGAGGTAGTACCAGCTGACAAAACTGACAGCTAAAAAACTTGACTTGAGTGACAGTGCAGTAAAAAAAGCTGCAGTAGAGGCACACTCATTATGCACATGAAAGAAGTTACATGTTCCCCCAGAACAAATGGGGGGAAGAAAAAGAATCTAAGTTTTGAGGATTTTAAGAAATACACCTAAAATTGTTCCTTCCCATCTTAAAACAAACCTAAACTCCCAATGAAACTGCACATGTTACTTGTGCCACCTTCTGGACAAAGCAACAACAGATACACAATATTACACTGGAAAATTACATTACTCCTCCAGTGGCTATATTCTCTCAAAACAAGAGTTTTTCTTCTCACTTCCTGCCTTAAATAGGGAAAAATAGCCCACACTTTATGTGAAAGTGAATACCTCTTTGAAACTCTAGGAAACTAGAACACAACTTTATTAAAAACGAAAGTAAATGTTAAGAAAAGACTTGTACTCCTAATTTATGTAGTAAAATAATTCTGTGTGAAAGCTGCTCCAAGTAACTCTGAGATGCCACATTTTCCCAACATATTTTACAGGGAAACAGCACACTTAGGGCAGGTCCTGGATTCTACTGAAAGAACAAAAATCCAAGTTTGACACTTAGGGCAGGTAGTCACCTTCTAGACGCAGAAACATGACCAACCAGCATAAAGGTATAAAGTCTCAGTGTGTATCTTGCCCCAACATGATAGACAGACTGTCAGCAAGTGCAACTGCGGCTGTAAATATCAAGGAAACCAAACCAGCCAGAAGCACACTCTCTTACATGTTGCTGGTTACCAGATAGACTAAAGCCTCCTATTTCACCTTTGGACCTTTTTTCCAGGACTTCTTGGAGTTTTTTTCCCTTGTTTCCAGATTTCACATAAGCCAAAACACCCTTACATAATCTCCTTCAAGACAACTTTGCTGAAAAGGTTTTTTCTACTAATCTCAGAAGAATTTTACAATGTTCTGAGATGAGAGCTTTCACAGGCAATCAATCCAATCAAATAGAGAGGGAGGACAGGTACTGAATTTTACAACTTTTCTTATGCTTCGGCAAGACTACTGATGGCAGTAGAAGCAGATGTATCACAATTTCCATAATTAGATCCTTAGTTATGGGGAAGATAAATACTTACTTTAGGTGCTCCATCCTTCTGAATGCCTACATCATTGGTTGCTATTCCTTTCACGCTACCATCTTCATGAAAAAGTACCTTTGGAAATATTTAAACAAAGAAACACAAAACATTGTAATGAAACTGTATTTTGAATCCATTTATTAAAAGTTCTAAAGCAGAACTTCTAAGCACTATGACTTAAATGGTCAAACATTATGTATTTAGATTAGATTAAATATTAAGTATGAAGATTAAATATGATCCACTTGCACTTTGCTGGATCTGAGCCAGGGAATTTAGACAGAGAAACACAGTTTTCACAACACCTATCACTTAAAAGGAATGTTGCACATGTACAAATGATCATGACTGCACTAAAGGGGGTTCCCAAGCCACTTTTCATAAACACACACTGATGTCATTAGTACCTCAGCTGCTGCATAGCCTGGATATATCTCAACACCCAAAGCTTCTGCTTGTTCACCTAGCCAACTCACAAGGTGGCCCAGACGTACTATGTAATTTCCATGATTAACCATCGGAAGTCCTAGGCAAAAAAAGACACACACAGATATAACACATCGGACACTAAGCAAAATAATCAAAGCTGCAAACAGTAGATGTCACATCTACAGCTACTACCTTCAAATTAATCTCATGTGTTATCAGAGCCATCAGCTACACAGAGTGTATCACTGTAACCTATTATATTCTACACACACTTGCTGCACTACATGGAATCAAACTTCTTTTGATTCATGGAGAAGTTCATGGATTCATGGACTTCATGGATTCATGAAGTCTCCAAAAAGACACAGAGGAAGTTGACTCTCTTCTCCTTCAGTAAACTTTACCTGGAAGAATTGGCACTGGAATTCTAGATGTCTCTGTTAAAATTCCAAACTTGTCTTCAGTCACAGGAGTATTAAGTGGAGCCTACAACGAATAAAATAGAAGAAGTAGAGAGTTATGCTTTCTTCGCCAGTACAACACAAACAACAAAATAAAACAATCAAACTGGCAGTAGAGTACAGGTTTAGTATAGCACTTTTTTGGGAAGGTATCACAAGAGAGAAAATAAAGTACTTTATAATGCAGTAATCAGGAAAGAATCAACACAACTTCTGAGGTAAAAAAAAAAATACGGCTTTGCAAATAACATCTATTGTACACAGGCCTGTGCTACATCAATATTCTAGACCTTTTTAAAGATGGCAGTTCAACTTGCAGATTTATCATCGTAAGGCAAACCAAAGAGCTGTTGGCTGACTTCTTGCATCTCTCAGGTGATAGCAGGCAGCGGTCTACAAGTCAGATGGCTGTTCTGGGACCTTCCTCCTACAATCATCTTAGGCCTTTGTTACACCACAGTATCTGCACAGAAGCCAGTCTACTCTGTGCCATTTCCAGGAAGAGCTATTGTACAGATCCAGCATATCTGTCACTGGTAAGGATCAAACATCCTGCTTGTACACAAGAGCTGGATTTTGCACAAAGGCAGCAAGTGCAAGGCACCCCAGGCTGCACCATTCAGATTGTGTATATGCAGTAGGACTGCTAGAGAAAAGAGCAAAGGCCACAGCATGTCTGTGTAGACAGAAAACATTTAGCATTGTTGAACTACAGGAAACATACTAAAAAGAAGGTACCCATTTTTGTTTTGTTCCATCGATGTATTTTAAAACAGTATTAATTACTAATGCTACCAGGTACTAACTCATATCAGAATCAGTCAGATATGAAGTTCATTACAATCTAGTAATGAACTTTGGTGTTGACATGCTCATACATACCCCTCGCTCTTTCCAGTCTGGAAAGAGTTCTTCTAAGGACCTTGGCTCGATACAAGCACCGGACAATGTATGTGCACCAATCTGAGAGGCCTTTTCCACCAGACAAACTCGCAGTTCTTTGCTGTGCTCAGCAGCCAGCTGTTTGAGTCGAATGGCTGCAGAAAGGCCTGCAGGGCCTGCTCCAACAACGACAACATCAGCTTCTTCTGCAAATCTTTCCATGTTTACCCCTTCAATAGAAAAAATTTATAATAACATAAGCCAATCTCCAATTTCGTCCAGCCTCTCTCTCACTGAACTTAAACCCGCATGGTAAGAACAACTGAAAAAAACCAGCAGATATATACTGAATAGTACTAAATCTTATGATAATCACTAAACCAAAAGCTGCTTGTATATTTTCTTTATGAAAACAAGCATAAAGTTTCTTCTGATAATATTTTATAGCACTAAAGTCATTCATTGTGAGATTGCAAGCAAAATTGTCATTTGAAATATTAGTACTGTATTTAAGCATAGAGAATTTCCATGAAGAAAGAAAACCAGCAACACATTTTACTGTATTTAAGACTCAGCAATGATTAATACTAATAATAATAATAAAGCATTTAAAGAATGCAATGTTTTTACCTTCCCATCGTTTGTCTTTGTCCCGAGGATGAATTGTGTAATGTGTAGTTATGCGAGGCACAGAGGCAGTAGAGGCACATCGTGAGACACGCAGCGATAGAAGGCAATCTTTCTTTATCAACTTTAGAGCATGAAAGCACTGACGTGCTGCAAAAACCAGAAATAACTTTGTCAAATCAGTAGTTTTCCAAATTTTTCAAGATTTCAGAGACACAAGTAGTGCAACAAACATGACAGCTCCCCCCCCTCCCAAAGGGCTACCAGGTGATGTAAAGATGAGGAACCATAAACACAGATTTTAAAATTCTCAGGTAAGGAGGATGCTGTGTAATTTTTTTATCAGGGGAAAAAAAATAAGCTTCTTCTTTAAGCATTCTTTACTCAGTACACAGGTCAGCCATGCACAGCTGACACAGGATAATATGCATGTATACACAGGTGCCAAACATATTTTAAGTTCTGATTTAATTTTGAACTTCAAAAGTTTTATTTCAGGCTGCATTAAAAATGACCAAGCAACAGTAGAAACAGGACATGCAAGTTTAGCTCTGACATCTCAACACATGATGCTTCTAAAGTACACGCCATAGTCTGCAGTAAGAGCACAGACTTGAACCCAAGTATGCTTAGCCAAAGTTAGGAACAGTAGATACAGGTAACCATTACCTTTGCTGCAAATACAATAATTGTTGTGAGAACATATTAGAATTTCTGTGTAAGGAAACGGATGAAAAATAAAGTTTCAAATTATCAAACCGGGACTCTTTTCAGAAGGCTATTACTTGTCATCATTTCCCTCTTCTAGGAGCAAATAATAATGCATGTGATTGGTAATAAAAAATCCTAGCATGAAAACTAGTTATAGTTAAAAGGTCTGTGAATTAATGTACGTTGACTAATAATTTTCCTTCCTTAAAAAATTCTCTATTTTCAGGGATAAAGAAGACTAGCACCACATTTAAAGTGGAGTATTTCTGCAAAACTACATAAGTAAAATCACCAGTGTGCTATGACTGAAATATTTAGTTGAGAATGGCAATTGGCAAGGTCAGCACAGGCATCTTGTGTCCGGGTGACAGGACAGAGGTCTCTAAAAGCAAGGTAGCAAGTATTACCCATGTTGGCTCCTTAGCAAGAATTTTGTACCTTAACCAATATAACATAAAAACTATTATCATATCACCTCATGATTCTTAGTTATCCTTTACCTGCAACCAAGCAGGATCTGAGAACAAGTATTCTATAAGGTTGATAACAGCTACACTCATATATATATTATAAAACTTTAACTTAACTTTCAGGATTTTTTTTTTTATTTGACCATAACTGATGGTACTAAGAATCACACAGAATATATATATATATATAAAAAAAAAACAGTCAATTTGCACATATGCAAAAGAAGTGAAACTCTGCTCCCAACACCTCTGATAATAACAGAGGTGGGTGCAAACGCTGGACGGGCAGATTCTTCCCCAGCGAGCACACAGTGCCTGGGCCACGATGCTACTGAGAGCGCAGGGACTCGGAAAGCGATGGGAAACGCCTCCATGGCCAAGGAGAAACTTTGCGGCAGCTCTTCAGTAACAGCTGTCGGGATGCTGTCGCCACAACTACTTCCCAAGTAAGGACACTCGTGCCACTGCTTTAGTTCACCCTCTAAAGCAGGTGACTCCTTGCGTCGCTCAAAAATCCCGGCCATCTCTTTAGGCACGCCGCCGCAGGTGAACAGCCCGTGTCGGTAGCACAGAGCCGGGCCGCGGGCAGCGCTCACGCCAGCGCTGTCCTGCCGCCTCCGGGCGCACAGAGGGCCCGGGCAGGGGGAGCCGTGGGGGAGCCCCGGGCCCCCAGCCGGTCCCGCTCCGGCCCCACGCCCGCCCGGACACCGGCGCGACCCAGCCGCGACCTTTGCTCCGCCTCGGCGCCGCGCCAGCCGCCGGCCCCACCCGCCGCACGGGCGGCCGTCCCAGCCCGGCCCTGCCCAGCCCGGGACGAGGCCCCGGGCCCAGGCCCTCCAGCCGGCCCCGGCGCGTTACCTCGGCCGGAGGACGGGCAGCGGCGGAGCAGCATCGCAGCGGCCCCGGGCACCTCTCGCTTCTGCGTCCGCCCCGCGCACACCCCGCCGGCTTCGGCCCTGCGGCGCCTGCGCGCCGGCCACGGCTCCGCCCCGTCCTGGCGGCAGGACTACAGCTCCCAGAGCCGCCCGCGGGGCGGTGCCGCGGCCGCTGCCGCCCCATCCACGCTGCGGGCGGCGCTCGGCGGGAGCGGCCCGGGCGTGCCGTGGGCGGTGCTCGGCGGGAGGCGCGCCCGGCGGGAGAACCGAGCGGGACATGGCCGAGGCGGGGCCGCTGCCGCCCGCGGCGGTGCCCGAGGGATCGCCCGGCGCCCAGCTCCGCAGGGTCTGCGGCGGGAGCGAGGGGTCGCGGCCGCCGGAGCTGCCCGGCGGCGACACGCGGGAGCTGCTGGAGGAGGTGGAGCTGCAGATCGGCGATGTGAGTGCGGCGCGCTGCCCTCGGGCGGGCTCGGGGCCCCTCGGGGGCGCTGCCGGGCGCCGGCGACCCCCAACCTTTCTGCCGTCCCTCCAGGCCGCCTTCTCGCTGGCGAAGATCCTGGAGGCGACGTCGGCCGTGTCGGCCCAGGTGGAGGAGCTGGCCACGAGGTGCTCGGAGAACGCCCGGTTCCTCAGGACGTGGCGGGACCTGCTGAGGGAGGGCTACGAGTCCCTGAAGCCCAGCGGCTGACGCTGGCCCTGCCCGCCGAGCCCCCGCCCGGCCCGCACTGCGGCGGGGCTCCTTCCGACCGCTGCCTTTGGGGACCTCACGTGGAGTTTTGTGTTCCCCCCGAGCTCTTTCACAAATACTTGGGGGCTCTCGTATGGACGTTTTATGTTACTCTACCGAATAAAAAAAACTTTGTTTAGGGAATCAGTTTTGACTTTTAGATTCTTCGTTGAAGCTCAAGCGATCTTATACTCTCATTTTTATCTCTTTCGTGTTAGTGTGGTAGATACAAAGTTAGTATGTGTGCTACGTTCAGAACTCATTACTTGTGGGGAAGTGATAAGGAATTGTCAGCCCTCCTTTTTAAGAGCTGTCACCAGCAGAAACCCTGCCAACCCCAGAAAAACTTCAATTAACTTCAGTTTTTTGTTACACACACGTTTTCTTTATGTTGAGTATGGGATAATGCGGCAAGTTGTGCCTTATTTATGAGCTGTAGAAAAATTCTATATCCCAAGCTTTACTGTTTTTAGCAGTATTACAATGTATGTCTATAAAGCTGCAGATTCTTTTTTGCAGGATGTTTTATTACTACAATTTTACCCTACTTTCTGTTGTAATAAAGTGCCTTATCATGGACGATATGTATCTGCAGGGTAGAAGTTTAACAGCATTGTTTACTGATAGGATGAATTATTTTGAACTCTAAGTAAAAGCTTCTATTAGTTAGAATAGAATCTGTGACATGTATTCTCTCCTGTCGCTGGGGAAGCACTTCAAAGCTTTTTCAGTATTTGGTCCTGTTTTTTATCTTTGCCTTAAGCAGTGACTAGTTTGATAGTCTAGAGCTTACAGTTAATAGAACCTTTCGGTCTGAAAGATGGCTGAGCTGTAATAAATAGCTGTCCTGACACTCCTGTACCTTTACCAGGCACTGAAAAAAAGTAATGCTGAGATGCAATGGCAGGCTGCAGGAGAATGTGACTCTGCCATGACTTGTTTTTACTTACAGGACTTTGAGGAAGACCCACTGTAGCTTGCTTATCAAAACAATAAAGAAGTTGCAAAAATTATGAAGTATCGACTATTATTGTGTTACTGATAGAAACAAAGGTGACAGTGAATATAACCATTATCACGTGGAGTGAAAACCAGGTAATGGCAAGGTCGGGGATTGTTGCACATCTCACCAAAGGCAGTTGCAGTCCTTGAGAGGGCTTGGCCCCTGAGTAAGGAAGTTCTATTGAATTGAATTCTAATTGTCCTAGCTAAAGATAATTAATCCATGTGGCAGGATTTTGCTTAGGTGTTTTTAACCCCTACAACCCAAAATGTTGCTAAACATCTTGGAAAAGAAGTAATTTTGTTCAGCAGATAATGCTTTATTTCAATAGAACATACAGTAGTGGAAACAAGATGCTTAACAATCTTCAGTTTCAAATCCAAAGATAATCCAAAGTTCTGTAAACAGTTGAAGTGTGAGCCACACTTTTTCAAAATTCTACTTCTTATACTGCTAAGAAGTTAAGTGCAAACATTGTAAGTATCTTTTAACTTAATTTTAAATAGTTTCAAATCAATGCAAAAAAAAAAAGAGCTTTTTTTTACCTTTTTGGGCTTCTAGGCCATCAGACTGAATACGGTACTGAAAGAAGAAGGGAAGCTGTAATAATTCATATTAGAAAACATTCTCTTCAGTAAAAAAGTGTGAATGAACTGCCTCTAGGGGATTGTTTCAGATGGGATATTTTGTATTTTACCCTTGTACTTCTGGGAAGTAAAATAATGCTTCAAAAAGTGCTGAATGTCTGCAGTCTTTCAATTACTCTAACTATAATGCATCCAGTCATGCTCAAAGTGAGCCGTGACACCTATTAAGACTGATAATTTTCTATTTGACCATCTCCCTTGTTCATGGAGATACAGCTTAAGACTGGAATTTGTTGAAGTCTGCAAGCTGTGGTGAGCTACTTTTGGTAGCCTGTTAAGAAAAGAGGAAAAGAGAAGCAGCAAGGTGCTGGCATACTCAGTCCAGTCTTTCCAGAGTAAGACAGGGGAAACTGCCACCAGTTAAAGCTGGGGGACACTCACTTAGGAAAAAAACCAACCAAACAAAACAAACCTCTAATTTTTGTTTATTTCTTCATCACAGTTCTGGTTCTGCCTGAATCAGAATCTTAAAGATCATCTAGTCCCAGCCTCTCCCTGCCATGGGCAGGGACACCTCCCAGTAGACCAGGCTGATCAAGGCTTGTCCAACCTGGTGACTGTAGCAGAACTATCATTACAATTTCACTATTGCCTTTACATGAGCGAAATAGTCTGTACATTTGTAAAAGTAATATAATTTTCACTTTTTTTGGCTTTGACAAATATAGTTAACTGACCTATTCATGAAATTTGAATGTTTTTCTTACGGCTATTGCTCCTTAAAACTTTTGAAGAGATGATGCAGCCTGAATAGAGCAAGTCAGAAACTTTAAGGAGAAAATACATTTCTTAATGAGAAAATCAATTAACTCTTAAAAAAATCAACTGTTGAAATGGGAACTTACAAGAAGAAAAAAGAAAATACACATACGTACACACATACACACACACACACTTCCCCATAAACAGATGATTTTGAAACAATCTGCTTTCAGGGTGAGATGTTTCAAATGACAATTCATTTTTTTTCCACACTCTTGGCTTCTGGAAGAAAAAATCCCCAAACAACCGATTTCTCATTCTGATCTAGGATGAATTGTCAAAATGTCAGGTACAGCTTGAGATGGTAAAATGCCAGTTCTACCTGCAAAGAGACACATGGCTCCCTCTTCTTCTTGCTGTGGTTCACGTGGGCCCTGATGTCACACCTCCCTCATTTTCCTCATGGCTGTAAAGCAGCAAGCCCACGGATGTGAAGCTAACAGTGCCGATGTCACCGTGAGGATTCAAACCATAATTACGTGTATGAATTTAATCTTGTTGACTGTGTAGTCACTGAAGCATCAGAAGAGTCTGTACAAAGCACAGGCTTTGTAACTTTAGGTGTGGTTTCATGCATTGGCCACATCTCTACCCAAATGAATGATGGACCGTATGGTTTCTGGCTGCCTTTACCTCTTTTGGATCTTCTTTGTCTGTAGTTGTACCAAACCTGATGAATCATTTCTTTGAAAGGTCGTGTAGTCAAAGTGTAGAGAAGAGGATTCAAAGCACTATTTATTGGCAGTATAAAAATCACCACCCAAGAAGTTATGGTACCTTAGGGAGGGAAAAAGAGAGGCAGCTGTAATATGCATCCTAGTGTTTGCATTTTTTAGTTAGCATAAGCACTTGATGCCAATGCAGCACAGCTTGCTGGTGAGAGGGGGAGGTCATGTGCTCTTAGGCTGAAGTCCTGTCACAACAGGTGCTTTTCTTTTTCTTCTTTCTGTTACACTTGCACTGCTTCTTTTCTCTCTCTGTTTCCAGTACTCCCTGCAAAAGCTGACATTTATTATTCTCCCAGTAATTCCATTTATCCCTCTTCTATGCCACAGCTTCCTATTTGCCCTGACAGACTTTTTGTTTTGGCTGAGCCCCTTTTCCTTGACCCAAAACCATTTGTAGCTGCTTTGCTCCTTATCTCCTCCTGTGATCTCTGTTCCCCATCCTCTTCCCAGAACTGATGACATGCAGTCCTAATGATGCCCCTGATGTTCTGTCCTCCTGCAAAACTATTCTTTGTTCCCTGTGTTGCCTCAGAGCCTAGTTTTCTCTTCTGCACCAGGACTTCTTCATTCCTCTCCCTGAAAAAGAGCATTGTATAGATCCTCCTAATTTCTTTCTTTTCCTGTTGGGAAGAGTTTCTGTGTTCACTGTCTGCCTATGTAAGTCTGCTTCTTTACAACATCCCTTTCTCATCCTTTACTGTTTGGGAGATCTGTTTCCTGAGGGGTAGGTGGAGAAGGGACAGGATTAACGTGCTGAAAGGTGTCAATAGGTGCCCTCCACTGTGTTTGACTTATAGAATTGTTACAGAACTGTTCCAAGAGGCGTAAAAATCTTAATTGACTGTCCTTCTGGGACACCCCTCCGCGTCCCTCTCCACTTTAACAACTTTGTTGCAATATCAAGACATTCCTGTTGATGCCCATTACATTGGCTACAGTTTTGGAAACAGGCAGGTGCTTAGTTCTAAAACTGTCACAATGTATTGCCAACACAAAGTAAATACTATCAAAGGATGTTTACAATTTGTGTCAATTCGGACAGCTAGCTGTCATGTCTTTAGTTTCATGAATGGAGGAATTACTGTTTAATCTCGTTCATCTATCACAGGACACTAATTTGCTGAGCCAAAGATCATCCTGTGATTCAGCAAGATTTCTTCAAGGTTTCTTGACTTATAGTACACCTGCTTCTACTTTTCAAGATATTTTCTTTCAAGTATCATAGGTGGTTTGATAGCTTCTTGAAGAACAATTTAAAAATATTTGAAATAACTGGATATTTAACATAATCAGCGTAACTTCCAGACATTTGAGATGCAAGTCCAAACTTTGAAAATTTCAACTCCCAACCCTCCTGGTCAGCACATATGGCAAAATTGTCTGACCTAAAACATTTTCTTGCCATTGTAATATTGTAACATACATCTGTACATTGAGTCTGAATCTGCTGTTGCTGATTGTTCTGTTCATGCTCACATGTTCTTTCTAACAGGGTTAACAAGCCCCATGTGAAGAGGCTTTTTTCCTGGCATCTATTGATATTGCAAAGAGAAGGAAAAACTTAAGGTACAATTGTAGTCTTTTAGGTTACACCATTTTTACATGGGAATATATTCACAACATGAAGAAGATAAACAGATCTTTATGTAACTTAATGAGTGGAGCTATAAATACCAGCTTGTAAAATAAAGTCATTTCAGAAAAAGTTACATTTTTGAATCCAAATAGAAAACACTATATTGTCTTGAGACATTTAGGCAACAGAACCAGCAAAAGCCCTAAGATGAGAAAAGCCAATGCAACTTAGCCTTGACTTTCAAATATATTTTGTACACTTTATAGATATTATATGCAGACAGACTTGAATGATTTGAATTTTGGAGTTTTTTATGTAACTCAAAGGTTTCTAATCTTTTATTATTATAGTAATAGAGTTTAATTAAATAGCAAAAGTATATAGCTCATTATATTGTGTGTACACATATATAGATATAGAACACGAAGTTAATTTCAGCAATATAGTTAATTTCATTAAATTATTTTTCTTCTGAAGTAGAAGGAACATTTCATACAGGCACCGTTGAAACAGCCTCATAAAAGAAAGACATACCTGGTATTTCTACTCGAAGTAAAGAAAGGAGTTTCAAAATAAAAATAGGTATCCAACATAGTGCATCAGTAAATACAATGAAGAAAAAACGTTTAGCAAGGATCATCTCTTTTTTAATATGATTCCGAATTTCAGTAGCCATAATAGCTGTCTGGTGAACACTGTAGAACATACTCCCATAGGAAAACACAATGATGATAAAAGCTGCCAAGTTTACACCTGTTTAAAAGTTAAAATCAATTATACCTTAAAAGAATAATGGCAATTCTAAATCACCTAATTTCAGTCTGGGTAGTAAAGAAGAATATTTCATCTAAACAGCTAGTCCCATGGAATTAAGTGGTCAGAAAATCTGAGTCTGTCCTCATCTGAAGGCAGAATTTTTGTCTCTACTCAAGTATTCATTTTATTCACTGATAACTGGCAAAAGACTGCCATCTGATTAAATAGTTCTTCTCTGGCCTTACCATTGTTCTACTTCCCTAACATAGTCTATTAATTCAAGAACATAATGGTCAATAATTTCTTTCTACTTTCTCATCCCTTCATGCATTTTAAGATAAGTATATGCACATCTAATACAGTAAACATTTATATTGGAAATAGTCTTTAAATGCTTGCTGGAGCATCTAAAGCCAAGGAGGTGTGAACATCACAGCTATCTTAATTGTTTGAAAGCTTGGTTCCTTTGCAGCTCTAGTAATACATAAAGAAGAAAAGCAACTTACCTAAGAAAATCACAACAGAATAAATTTGACTTCCTGAACTTTCTGATTGTTCTGAGTGAAGAGGAAAACAGACTCCATTGGTGCCATAGTAGTTCCTGAAAAATTCCTTATTGCTCAGTGGGATAAAAGCAACAGCAAATCCGATTATCCAGATAAGAACCAAAATGGAAATTGTCCTGCATTTTCTGGGCTTCAAACACCTAAAAGGATAAACTATGCAGATGTATTTTTCCAAAGTCAGATAAGTCAACAGTAAGACTGACACCTCTGTAGACAGAATAGCCAGCGATCCGACCAACTGGCAGTGAATACTGTCCATCCACAACTGAGCGTGCTTGTTGTATTCTCCACGATATTTAAGATCAAAAGCTCCAATCACAAATAAATATATTCCCATCAGACAGTCAGCACCTGTGGGCACAGTGCTTAACATCATTATTTACACATCTGAATTTCCCATTCTCTCTGTACATGTATCTTGGAAAACAGACACACACACACATAACACACATAAATAAACATATAAGTATCTACTTACAAGTAAGCATCTACATAGATATGGATATAAAATTGATATTAAATATAAAATCAATATTACATCTGGAATAGTACTATAGTAATTATAATTACTTGATTATAGTAATTACTTAGTAGTTATGTAATTATATTACTTTTTCCTTTTTTTGTTTTCCCTTTCATTTGGTCTGACACTCCATGTTTTGTACTTGCTTCCATTTTTAAAGTTCTGGTAAAATTGTTTAGCAAGTAGAAAAATATACAGATATATTTATAGAAATATTCTTGCAACCCTTTTTTATTAGGTCTTATTTCTTCATTTATTTCTATATTAACATTTGGCTTAAGATAATTTTCTTTAAGTAGGCCATCTCTGCTGGACTCAAAGTTTATTTTTTCCACCTTATGCTAGTTCAAAACTCACCTGCATAGTCTTCTAAGACTAGTAAGGAGAGATGACCTGTCAACACAGAACTGAAGTCTTCATGGGTATTTTGTTAAAATTTTTGCATAGTGTTCAGATTGTTTTATGGGAAAAACAAAGTTTCAAAATCACCAATATGCTGTATTTAGAAATGTTGCAATAATTCTATGCAGTGTTGGCAACTACCCCTCAAAATGCATTTAACTGCATTTGTGCAATCGTTATAGACTCTCCAGTATTGAGAGACTCAGAGTTGTAGTGACTGTACTGTCAAGTAGTTAATCCATAAACTTTTTTTGCTTTCAGGACTAATATAAAAAATATCACCCCAATTCCTAATACTGGGGAGCTAGGATAGATTAATTTTCTATATTTGCATAAATAACCTTTTGTTTGTGCAAAGAGTAGAATATTTGAGCACAATAATTACATGCAGAAATCACTACTTATCTGAGAAATGCATTGTAAAATATAGGTTTTTGGGCATTTGAAATATTGGAATATTATTTCTTCTTGCTGAAGAAAGTGGCAATTTGACAGAATTCCCATTACATGAAAATCAAACATGACACTTTTGGAATGTCCCAGCTGCCAAAGATAGCATTTAATGAGACCTCAATGAGTCCTTAACACTATATAAGCCACATCATTTTGTGTTTTCATTTGCAATGTCACAAAGGTAGAGTTAATCTAGTGCTGGAAATATGTCACTACACTATAATAACAAGTATCATACACGATACAAGCAGACTAAAAAGATATTCTAGATATGGAGTACTCACAGCAGAGAGACATTATGGAGATGGCATGCAGCTTGTTCTCTGATCTGATGTAAGGCCTCATGCAGATAACAAAAATGTTTCCAAAGCAGGTAATGGCTGATACAACCCAGACAAATACTCTCTGTATGATGCTAGCTAAAAGATTCTCGAGGGAGGAAATCCCATCTGTGTTGGGTTTGCAGCTGCGCACGTGAGGAGCATACCCACAGTACTGGAATTTCTTAAAATATCTGGTTGTGAGAAATAGATGAGAGATCATTCTAGACTGGTTGTCAGAGTATCAAAATATCTAGTAACTACTCAGAAAACATATTATGAAAGAAGGAAAGTAAATAAAAAAAGGTCAAAATTCCACAACTCATGTAGTGCTTTTCATACATCTTTGTTTTTAATTTGTCCAGTATTCTGTAATTGTAAAATTCAAGCCAAAGAAACCAAACTTTGTAAAATAATCTACTTACATGTGGGAAAGGTTTCTCAGGGGACTGAACATTCTCCTCTGGATGTTTGCAATTTCAATGCCCTCCAAGCTGCTGTAAAAATACATTCTCAGTAAAAGGCCATAGAAACTCGGTAGCAAAACCCCAAATTTTATGAGCATTTAGTTGTGCTTTTATGATTACAGGAAACTAGATAAGAACTTTATTGCATCTAATCTGTCAAACCTTCAAAACCTGACCAAAAAGTCAGGAGTGGAACAAAAAGGAATTGCAAATAATTTTTAATAAACTCATTGTTCTTCCAGATTCATGAAGAAAACTCTTAGTGCTGCTCTCACTCATGAGAATTCATGAATGTCTGATTAATATGTTGCCCTTTCAAAGTACTATTCTACTGATGTTCTTTCTTCATCTCTGGGGAAATAAACTTGTTCTAGGAGTAATACTTTTACACATCTTCTCTCTTTTATCTCAGGGAGTGCTTTATTGGACAAAAAAACCAACCCAAGAACTCAGTCTTCATTACGTCAAAACCAGCAGGAAGCTGGGACACAGAACACAGCACGTAAGAAAAAATGCTGGCTTTTTTCTGACACATGGCTGAGATTCCTTATTTTAAATTTTATATATTTATATGAGAGCAGCTATATTTTTTCCCCCTGCAGCGTGAGATCAATAAAATTTAACTATGTAAGATGTTCTTTTAGAACTTCAGGTTCTGTATTCTTCCAGTCCATCCCATTCTCTGGTTAGATGTGCACCTGGTCAGGGGTCTTTGGTTCTCCTTGTGGAGAGCCTTATTTGGATTTATTGTTCAAAGGTTTGAATGTAATATTTCTGTGAATTCAGAATGCATTTAGGCAAAAATGGAGAAAAGTACAGACTTACTGGTTAGTTGATGTAGGTTGCTGGGCAGTTTTGCTGGCAGATATGAGAAAGCCCCAACATGGAAGTGTGCTACTTTTATTTAAGTGCTGCAATGAATACTAGGGAATGCTTTCTCCAACTATTTCTAGTATTTCAAAGAGATGAAGAGAGAACTGGTGTTTTACAAACTGCCGAAATACAGTTGCCTATTGATCTATCTCAAGATTTAACAGTTTTTTAACTAAAATAGGTGGAAGGCCATGATCACCGAATTATATGAGTTCTTTGGTGTTAAATAATAGATAAAGTGATAAAATCATGCTGTAGCTTGACTGTTAAGGAAGTAATTGGTTTTTATTTTCTGTTCTCAGCTGCTTATTTTCATTACACTTATACAGATTTGGTATTTTCAGTTCATTAGCCATTTACCAATTTTAGTTTAATTTGGCCAGGGGGTTCCAGTCACTGTGAGGATCAAAAAAGGCATATGTACTGCTAGCTACAGCTCACACATAATCATATCAGGTCAAATCATAAACTCCTACTGCACTGCTGTCCAAGAAAACATCTGGTTTTTTAATCTCCACAACCATTTTTAGTAGGGCCTAGTTGCAACAGGAAAAGGGGCAATGGTTTTAAGTGAAAAAATTTGGTAGATTTAGAATAGGTATTAGGAAAAATTTCTTTATGAATAGGTGGTGAAACAGTGGAGTAAGTGGTCTAAAAATGTGGTAGATACCCCTGGCCCAGGAACATTCCTGGTCAGGCTGTGAGCAGCCTGACCTAGTTGAAGATGCCCCTGCTCATTGCAGGGAGTTGAACCAGAGGACCTTTAAGGGTCACTGCCAAAACAAACTATTCTATGATTTTGAAGTGATGTCTGACAAAAACCAGTATTTCAGAGGTGAAGTGACCAATAAAGAAGTACTTAAATCTACTGCAGGATAATTTCAGATTTGCAAGATTGTTGCTACACTATCTCAGATTTTTAAGAGGACCTCTGCTGGCAGAATTCAAGTTAGAGCTGCTGTTTTAGTGCACCTGCAAAACTCCCCCTAAACTCTTCAGGGGCAATTTCTTACAAAATATATTCTAGATCACGTCCTACTAAGGGAGATGTGCAAAATCACAAATAAAATATAGCTAAAATATAAAAACTTTATACTTACAGGGATTTGAGTTTAATTAGAAAATCAAACTGGTCTATTTGGATTTTCTTGATGGGGTTGTAAGAAAGGTTCCTGTAAACACAATAAAATTAACTTTGGCCACATTCCTTACTGCTTGCCCTAAAAACAAAGTCAATCTACTTTTAAAGTTAAATCCTGATATCAAGTTAAGTGTTCTCATGAAATTATTAATTTCTCATGACGTAGTTAGCATAGCTCATCTTGTATGTACTAACAAGATGTAGAAAAATGCAGGATTTTAACATGTCTTTTGGGACATGAAAATGCACACCTTTTACAAAATTATTCTGGAAAATGATATAAAATTGCTTTTGGTATGTTTTTTAGACAGAGCTTAAAGGATGCATACAAACAAATGTGCTCTTGTCTTTTCTGACACATATGAATGAAAACATCATATCAAATGAAGAATATACATTTATGTATAATAATAAACAAGAATCCTTACAGTTGTGAAAGCTCCTTTAGTTCCTTAAATATATATGGTGGAAGTGATTCAATCTTGTTGCTAGCCAAATCTCTGCAGAAACACACAGGTTACAGTAAGTTCTTACTACACACAGTAATTTTACCAAATAGTTTTGCAGTTTCAATATACACAATTTTATTTGCCAAATAGAATATTATTTATTCTATAGGTTATCAGAAATCTGGACTATAAAATAATGATATTAAAACAAGGTGGGATCTTGCTTTGTCTCTTTAGTTCAGATATACCGTTAGATACATAATTTATTGTTATTTTATTTCCATCAAAAAGAAAATAAAATGCCATTACTTTGGCTTGTAGAAGGTTACAAATTAATTAAATGTATTGTTTCATGATGGGAATGTTTCCACATGGGCTAAACTGCATATCTTTACTTTTGTTTTTATTTCTACCTTTCATCTTACTTTCTGTGCAGAAATCCTAAAAACAGAGGAATAAAGGTCTCAAAAACTGTCAAACTGGTCTAAAAGATACTGAAGGCACACCTGCAACTATCCTGTAGTGATACAAGAATAATTTATATTATTATATTCAGGGAACATAATGTGAGAAAAGCCCCAATATGATTGATACAGATTTTATTGATTATTTCTTTCCTTTTCAATATGTCTTTAAAAAAAATACCCTAAGGAAGGATGCCATCTCCAGGACATATTATATGAAATAGAATTTATGATGAATGATATTTCTTATATAAATCACAAAACTGTGTGATGTGTACAAATAAGAGAAGAAATCTACTCACAATTCATCTAACATCTGGAGAGAAGAAAAGCTGTTTTCATTTAGGGAGCTGATTTTATTTCGTCTCATCACTCTGAAAGAATAAAACAAACTTATGTTGCTTCTTCTTGGTGACTATTTAATTTTGAAGATAAGGTTTTATAAACTTTAGAAGTTCTCTGTTTTCTGCATCTTTAAATATTTGCCCAATTCAGTTAACAAGCTAATTGCATCTGGAAGTTTGCCATTTTATTAGTTATTAGTAAATAACTTTTTTTGCCTATATATTAATGTACTTCTGCATGCATGTATATATGTGTGTGTATATACACATACACACACCACACACACACACCCATGGAAGGCTGATGCAAATTGACTGAAGGCAGGAGGAAGATTAAGTGGGCTGGAAAGCTTGTGACCTAATCATGTCTCAGACACAGGCGCATGGTTGTACAATTTTTCATTCACCCTTATTTCAACTGCCACTGAGATAAGAAAGCCAAGAACATGGGTACTGCAGAAGAAATAAAAATTGAAAGTGACATCACCATGGAGTCTACTGATCTACCAAAAAGTAGAAGGGATTTTCTGAAGATGGTTACATCATCACTGAAGAAACTTAGGAGAAAATTCTAGAATTGATGAGCCAACCCACCAGCCAATCAAAATAAGCAACAAGCTATGTATTTTGTATGTTTGCTGGTTCTCATTACGAGATCTTTGACTCCAATACAAAGGTTATAATGAAAATTTCTAAATCTTAATATCAGCCAAAGTCTCTTCAGTGAAGTCCTGTTATATATTTCAATGCTGAACATGGCTGTAAAATATAAACAGTGGATATTCTGTGTGGTGCTCATTTCAAACCAAACATTTTAATTTAATATCCTCAAGAGATAAATAACCATAATACTCAGGAAACTTTTATATTAGCTGCAATGAATCATTTGACTGCTCAGTGTAAGTACAACTTACTCTGGCTAGCTAGCATATCCAATTACTTACAGTACAGTTAGAGTGCTGCAGGAGATGAAAGTGGCATTTTTCACATGATGGATATGGTTGCCTTCAAGGTCTCTGGGATATAAAAGAACCCATCAATCATTGAAAATAAACTCAGGCACTTATTTTAAGGTAATTGAAGAAAAACACTACCAGAACTTGACTATACAGAAGAGAGTGGGAGGCAGACATGCACACTTAACTGATGACTTCAGGCCATCAGCCCTGCAGTGACCCAGCAGGCACTTGGCAAGATCCAGCATCCCATAAGGAAAAGTGGGGTGCTGACAACAAGACAACAAAATAATATTTTAATATTTTTCCAGTGAAATAAGGTAGACTTACAGCCAGTTTAATCTTGGCATATACTGGCACAGAGGTTTATCAGGCAAACGTGCAAGAGAATTATTCATCATCTCTCTAAAAAAAAAAAAAAAAAAAAAAAAAAAAGAGGGATAGTACAGCTGGTTATATTTGCACAGTTACATCATAGAAAAAATTCGTGTCTCTTATGCACTTCTGAAAAAAATATCATTCCAATCTTGAATAGTTTTGAAAGCAGTATTATTTTCTTCAACTTCCACATATTTTCCCTATGGCATTCTATGCAGCAGTATTTTATCCTTAGCTTGCTAATGTCCAGGTAGAGGAAAGATGTTCACTTCACTGCTATTAAAATGAAATGTAGAAATCCAATACAAATCTACAATTGAGTCAGAGCATGTAATTCTGACTACAGTGGGATGTGGAGGGAGGTTTCCCTCTGGGATACAGGAGAAGAGGGTCCCTCATTTTTTGGGCTGGAGAGTGCAGTGGCACACCACAGACAGGGCCTTGGGGAGGGGGGCCAGGCTGCCATTGGGGCAGGGACTTTGGGACTCCTCCTGTCCCAGCATGGCTCTGGAGAACACCTGGAACCCAGTGCTGCAGCTGCCTTGACCCTGCCCTCTCAGTGACACCTTCCATCATTTTCCTCACCCTTCTCCCTATACTTTCCCAGTCACTGCATGTCCACTGCTGCCAAATCCTCCCACTCTAGCACATTTTGCCTGGGGTAAGGGAAAGCTGCAGGTGTACTGCCAGCACTCTGGGGTGAGCTAGCACATTCGGCATAAAAATTTTTTATATGCTTATGCCCTCCCTATTCTGTTCTTTATTAAATAGCACCTTTTTTTATCTTGTTTCATACTTACAGAAGAATTAGAGATTTGAGTCCATAGAATGTTAATGGATAGATCCGATTTATCCTGTTGTTTTCAATTATCCTATAAATGACAGTAAAATATTTATCAGATTGATAATTGACTTCAGTCTTAAATTTAAGAGATAATAAAAGGTAACAAGTTTTGTAGTGAATTTCTTCAAAAGTCCAGTCAAACTACTTAAAAGAATTAACACACCATTCCTTGGCAGGTCAAGTTATTAATTTCCTTTCAGAAAAATTTCATAAAAAACCCATGTAACTTAGAGAAAATAATTTCTTTCAACTTAGAAAAAAGTATTTCCTTTTGAGGTTTTTAAATCCTTTGATCAAGACACTTTCAATAAATTCTCTGTAAAAACAAAGTCTCACCACCTAACAATATTCTATGGCAATCCAACAGTTCCAAACATGCAGAAGAATGAAAGACATATTATTTGTTTATTTTTACTAACTTATTCAAAATCTCTCTGAAAAGCAGTATTGAGCCAATATTTCAGGTTATGACACTAATTTTGTCTGGACATTTTAAGCACTATTTACAGGAAAAGACCCAGCCAAAAAATATCTGTCTACTGTTTTATAGTACCTAGGTTACTTAATATATCATTTTGTAATGAGCAATTACTAATAAACATTGTTTACCATTGTCAAAAGTCATCAATCATTGAAGCCATTGAGGCTCAAGAGCTATTTTCTGCTCTCAGCAAAGCCAATTGCATTTTCACCTTGCACAGTGTAACAGGAGTTCCTTAGATATTAGCTAGTGTATAGTAATGCTATGCACAAATATGAAAGCAATGAAAAAAAAAATTAAAATTAATTATTTATTGAGTAAATAAATATGCAAAAAAGAAAGCAACATACAGCCATTCAAGTCTGTGAAGGTCTGCAAAGACAAAAGGCTCCAAATTCGTTATCTTGTTGTTGCTCAGGTATCTAAAACAAGACCAATCAAAAATGAATAAATGGAATGATTATTTAGCAGTAGACACACAAAAATGGGTTTTAAGATTATTTTTCCTTGATGATTTACCAGAATACTCCTATTCTGTTAATATTTTTTTTTTTACTTTGGTAATTTTCATGCCATTGTTTGAGAGCAAGGCAGGACTCTCTTTAGTGAGGATTTTTAAGAGCAATTATGTACAACACTTTGTCTTATCCATGAGAAAGCACAGCCAGCTAAATATTTTCACTGTGTCATATTTCAGACCCTTCCCAGTTTCCTTCTGTGGAGTGATTTGTTCCATTAAAGTTTCCAGGATCCCATTCAGTCTTTGCTAAGGATATTAGTCATAAATGTAGATACCAGAATAATGGAAAAAGAAAAGCTGAAAATGAATGGGGAGGGATACTATAAATGGTCTGGGAAGATAATAACAGCAGCTGTAATAACAGATAATCAGCCACACTTGTGTGATGGAAAGAATAAGAGGTACAGCTTTGTAAAAAACTTTCCTTCTGAAAACATTGCAGTAAAAGTCCTGAACCAAACAGTGCAATTTATGTGTTGCATCTTTCACTGTGCATTTCCCTTAAAAGTTGAAAACACCTTTCAACAAGTTGATCCAAAATGAAGGAAAAAAAGGTTCCTTTCATCACCTATACTGGTTACTTTGGATTGCATTTGCAAACCAAAACGCTGTGTTAAATAATTTTCATCCATCACAAGCTCTTGCTTTCTTTTTACTCTTTCTTCATTCTCTCTGGCTTTCTGCAGGGTAACTACCTTACTGTCTCCTTCTTCCATCCTGAGGATTTTGGGAATAGGACCGAAGTATGGAGACTGCTTGTCTTTTCAAAATGCTGCCCTGCCAGATAAACTTGCACAGGGACCTCTTAATCTGTCTTTGCTTTCTCAATTCAATCACTGGATTCAAGTTTTGGACCACTTTGCAAGTTCCTCATATGGAATCAGAACTCTGCCTGCTGCTTTTTACTTCAGTATTCTAAAAGCAATACTTACAGTTTTGTCAGGTTGTATAGACCTTTGAAAGCGCGTTCAGATACGGCTCTGATTTTATTATTCTGAAGATACCTAAGAAGATACAAACCCAAAACAATTTATTCTCTGAAAAAATGAAGTCAAAGCAAACATAAGTAACCAATTAAAATCTATCAGCTAAACTGAATACATATTTGATATTTTAAAAGAAGCTGTTATATTTGTTACACCTTGAATTTGACAATAGCCATTTCACAGCTATAGCTGGAAAGATTGAAAGGTTGTTTTTCAAGAAATTCACACAAAGAGCAAAATCAGAAAAATCATTCCAATGGGTACTTGCTTTGCCAAAGATGAACAGTGGATTGGTGGTTTGCAACATCCTTGATTAGGTCCTAACCTTTCAGTGCTCACCTGTGTGACCTGATCTCTGCTGCAACCAAAATTTTGCACAGTAAATGTAAAATTAAAATAATTTTTGAAATTTTTTCGTGGTACTAGAGAATTCTCAAAATATTGCATTTGTAAGATAATATATTTAAAAATATACAGCAAAACTTTTTGCTCTCCTGTAAACTAAAGATAATGTATTTTTTAAAACTCCAGATTTATCTACTTTGATGAAGTAATGAGTTGATAAGTATCAACAGCAAATGCTAAGTCTTTGAAAATAATTTTAATGAATTATGATATTAGTCTCTGAATAATATTAAACATAAGTCCTTTAAATTAAATTCCACCTAATGAAGCATCTAGATGCATTCCTGCTAGAAAGCAGTAAGAAATCAGACTTGGGCTTTTACAAAATGGGTTTCTGCCAAACACTGCTCAAGACCTTGTGGAAAATGTAAAATTATCTATCAGAAGGGTGTGAAACAAGTGTTTTCTACATATATAAATAGGTAACAAATGTTTTCTACATACAGAAATAGGTATGGATTTATTTATTTTAGTGAAAACTTATTTTTCAGAAATTTAAGGGATGTAATGGAACTTAAGTTTCAGAACACAAGATGGTGCTGTAGTGTAGCACAGTTCCCATGCAAGAACGATTTGAGTAGGTTATATAGAAGCCCTACTCCAGACTTCTGCATTTAATTTTTATTTCACTACTTCTATATAAAGAAAACTTGTTAAAGGCTATGGTTTTTGAACAGCACATATGTTACATGCTGGAAAACAGAACACAGGATTGTATTGCCATAATAATTTGACTTGTTGGGCATTACCAAATCAGTACCAGACATAATTAGGACATAATGATCCCATGTGCCATGGGAATAAGCTTCCCATGATAATGGGAAGTTTGAGTTTCCAAACTTTTTCCCCAGAATAAATCAATTAACTTACTTTAATTTAATTTGACATATTACTGTAGATGTAGTACCCTCCAGAAAAAAATAAAATCTAGAATTTTTCTGGTATAAACCAGTCTATAAACATAAACCATTGAATATGCAGAAATTACAATTTTGCAAAAAGACAGACGTCAAATTAAGGTACTTGAGCCAAACAGCGTACACATGAGGTACCAAAGGGTGAGACAAACTAGACTTTTGGTGCTTAAATGTTAAGCTCCATGTATGTATATATGGGGGAAAGAAAGGATGAATATTTAAGGCACTAGATAGGTATTTTATGGTATAGCACTCTTACAGATTTTTAAGATCTTGGTATTTCTTGAAAACATCAGCAGAAAGTTTTCTTAGCAGATTCCTCTGAAGAGACCTGTAGGAATGAATGCATACAGTAAAACTACTGTCCCAGGTTCCTACAGCACTTTTGTTATTTAATAAGGGCAGCTCTCACTCTGCTAAATAACAAAAGCAACGTGAAACCATCTGAACATGCTACTTCTGCTTTTCTGTATGCTTGTATCTATTTAAGCAGTAAGAAAAATATATTATAATTTAAAAAAACAATTTCCCCAGGAAAAACTAGCAAAATGATAGTTAAATCAAAGAATGAAAAAGATTTGAATATAAACTACAGATTTATTTCAAACCTTCAATGCATATAGAGTGTATTTCTCAGTTCATGCGTCCCAACGTCCCATCTTCACTGGGGACACTCAAGTGTCCCCACTCAAAATTCCTTCAGGTTGTGGTTTCATTAGAAGGGAATTTAGCCTGAAAGCCAGCTGAACTGCTTTTTCTACAGCAAGAACCGTAGTCAGTATTTTTGAACTCTTTTTCGACCCTGAGCCAGAAGCCAGTTTAAATAGATGTTTGACATTCCACATCAGTTTTTGTTATGAAGTGTTGCAGTATTTGAACGTGGACCCAACAAGGAGAACTTCAGCCACATGTGAACACAGACCAGTACCAAAAGGAAAGATCCATGACCCAGATCTATGGGGGAGATCCTCAGGTAAGGACATGGGATGGTGCTCCCTAGTCACCACACCTAAAACTGCTTCTCAAACAGCAATGTGTGAATCAAGAGCACATCAGCCATATTCTGGTCTCTTAAAAAAAGTTTGGCTTACACATACATATCTGCATGATGACTCAGACCAATTAAATCCTTTTAAATAACCGAGTATTCAGACATCAAATGAGAACTAAATAGATTTGCTCCCGCAGGGAGTTCCACTGAGTTCAAAGTTATTGACTTTATTGACAGGAACACAGACTAGGAATATTGGCAGTATCATAGAATAAGAAACAGGTTCTAAGCATTTTGTCTTAAAAGGAAGCATTTCTTTTCTAGATTTCCTCAGATATCTTGATGTATTTGTAGTTCAAGTCACCGTTACAAACATGAAATTATCAGTTCACAGAGTTTTTTTAGTTCCTTAGTTTCTTCTCTCTCCTTTTATGTAAGGAAAATCTGACTTACAATATTAAAGTACTTGTCAACAGAGAGAAACAGTGCTTCCCAAGCATCAGCTGATCATCATTATAAGGCTGTAGTTGTGAAAAAGTTGTAGGATTGACAGTCAAACCTGAACAGAGCAACAGACCACGTTACTTCACTACTTACATTATGGTTATGTTTGAAGAGACTGATGGCACAGCACGTAATTTGGCAGCATCACAGAAAACCTCCAGCCCTTGACAGGTACACTCTGCTGGCACATCACCAGCCACTGCAGGACAGCAAGAACATGGTCAGGGCAAAAGGAGGGATATGAGGTGTGATGGGACATGGAGAAAATAAATATGATATAAAAGAAGAGCACAAAGACAGACATAGCAGGCTCTTTTGAACACAATTAGTGCACATGCTTTTACAAAATTGATTTAGACCTGGGACGAATCTAACAATAAATATAAAGGGACACAAACAATTATATTACCTCTGTGAAAGCTCTTGAACCTTAGGCATGATGCACAGGAATCTGGCATGTGATTTTTGCAACACTCCTTTAGATTATTCAGCATGCTTATTACTAGAAGCAGCACAATTTTATGGGTAAAAATGGGTCAAAAATGGGAGTCTTTGCTCATCATAGTAGACAGCAGAATCAAGAAATCTGTACAAAGACCTGCATAAGTGGAGGGGGGTTGCAAATTTCATTTGATGTACAAAGAAGTGAACTGGGAGCAATGTTGCCTTCATTTCACTCTGAAATATATGTCAGTTCTATAGTCTCTCCAGCAGTATGAGCATATTTAGATAAACATTTATATTGCCCTCCTAACTGGCATATGCTAATTAAAGTATGTTTGACACTTCTCTTGCAGAAAATGAATCATCCTTAATGGAATTGAAATTAGCTTCAAATTAGCATTTGAGATATTAACTGTGTTTTTTCTATAAATGAAACAGCACTAAATTTCCTGCTAAGCATATAGTTGCTCTGTATTTCTTTCTAGGAATCATCATTAATAAAATAACATCTGTAATTACTTACGGCACTCAGGTGTCTTTGTCTGAAATGCATACAGAGATTTCAGTTTATTGTATTTGTCCTTTGTATAATGTTTATCAAATTGCAGAGACCATCCATTGTTGTCCTCTAATAAAAAACAAAACAAAAAAAAACCATACAACATAAACAGACCACAAATAGAAGGTATTAAAATATAAACGAAAGTTAGAAATGTCTTCACTTAATTTAGTTACATTAATTTTTGTCTAATTAATACAGGTGTTAATTCCAGAGCATTTCATATACCAGTAGAGAACCTTATCTTTATACATCTGCTTAATCTTACATATCTAAAACCAATATGAACTGCATAGAAGCAACAGCTTATTATACCTTCAATAATAATATTTGCTGTGACAGTCACACTGAAAAAATATAGTTTTGACTTCAGAAATGTTTATTTATGCCTAAAAATGAGAGGGAACAATATTTTTATACTTCCTTAAACACGCAGGTTTGCCACTTTGTCCACGAAAGTTGAAATGATTACTATGACTCTATCTAGTTTGTACAAAGGGATGTCTTGCACTATCACAGCCTGTAATTTCTTTCCTGAAAATCTAGATGAGGGCCAAAGGAACACTGCTTTTCAGGAGAAGAAGGGACTTGGTGTAACATATTCAAGTCAGAATGTTCATGTTAGGCTTAATGTGCATCTTAAACAAAGCATGATTCCATATTACCCCTTTGGTCACTGTGCATACATGTACTGGAACTGAGTAGTTTATATATGTAAGAACGAAATTTAAGAGCAAACCTTTTAGTTCCTTCCAAAGACTGGACATTTCAAGATGTAGTGGTGCTAGAAATAACTACAGATCTCTTAGCTACTTGTTTCTTGGAAATCTATTGTATATCTGAAACCTGTAAACTGGCTGATCAGGTAGCTGCTTTCCAAACAGGCTGGAAAGGGAAAGGGAACTTGCCTTTAAAAGCAGTGATTGGATTTTAGTTTTATTAATTTGAGTCTGTCTTCTCTTCAGCTCTTAAAGCATCTCTTTTAATGAACAAGCAGCAGTAGCAGAAACGCTCCTTGGGATGGCACTCCCTAGCTGGTCAGCCAAAGCATCCATGACAACTGAAAGCAGCACACTTTAAGGATATCTACTGCAAAACAACACTTATATGAGAACTCCTAGGATGGCTCTGCTTTGTTAGTAATTATAGTCTTAGATTCACCTTTATAATGTGAAATAATAATTTATAATTCACCTTTATAATGTGAAATAATGTATTGGCAATAGTCTTTACCCCTGCCATTTCACAGGTTAATAGTTTAGTTATACTTAAATACAATTCCTCATGGACATTTCTCTACAAATCTTTATATTTAACTCAGCGTTATTATAATATATAGGCCTCAAAATAGGCAGGGAGAAATAAAAAATATTTACTTTGCAAATTTTCCTATTCTGAAATGGCTTCTCATTTTTCATGTCATGTTACAACTCAGTTGTTTTCTCAGACAGTCAAGGAAACGGCCTTGAAAGCATCTCCTGACACCTGCCTACGGATGAAGCTGGTTTTGAGAGATGCTTGCCTCTTTACTGTCTAAGCTGAAAAGATGTGCTATATGGACTGACTAATGATAATATGAAAGATTAAGTAACTTCAGGCAAACTATCCTTCATCTAGTTATTTGTTTGTTATGCATAAATTGAAAAGATGAAAGATTCAAAGCAAACATTAAGTACCTGTCTTCAGGAATTGCTCCAGTGAGAGAAAAGACAGAAAGACAGACCTGATAAGACATTTAAGAACATTTTACTAACTTCCTCAAGAGCACCTTGCATGCTCTGATCCATTATTAGTTTTGCCATTCTAGGTAATTAAGCTAATATTCAGAAGCAGCCTAATGCATTTGGACAAAATGAAAGGTATTGACCAACCTGTTTATGCCTGCTTTAAATGCTCAAAAGAAGAGCAGTTTTAGGACTGCCTGCAGCATGGGATCTGTAATTGATGAAGTGATGACCCTTTGTAAAGTGGCAAGTGCATTAAAACCTACTGCCCTGTAGATGGGACTATAATTAGGTTTTCTCTACCACTATTCCTGAATATTTAACTGGAGCACATCCATTGACTTTCGTTAGTATGACTGGACTCAGCAATATGTGGGAATTCAACATACACAGAGAAAATAAGATTTTTAAATAGAAACTTGGGAAATGGTTTAAAAATGAGGTTATTCTTGAAGTATTAATTATACCAAATAAATGCTTTACAGTCAGGAATATAGTATGAAAATACTCTTGGATTTTCTAATTCATGATTATGTTTATAGAAAGTGGATATATGAGATTTTATTCCACATTTTTATACTTTTAAAATGCCTTGGCATGTGACAAAGCATGTACAAGAGGTGACCATCAATGATTTCACATCTTCAGAGAAAAAGGATGAGAACACTAATGGGAATGATGGAGCAGTTTGTTACCAAGGGGAAGTTCCTCAGCATTTTTGAGGAAGTCTAAAGGCAGCTGTGTATTTTTGGGTGCCCATAAAAAAGAAGGGGAAAAATTCACAGAGAAGATGGATTATTTTGTACTGGAATGATTCCAGATGTTTGGTATTTCTAGTGAGTTCATTTTAAATAATGGGCTTTTCTCATGGCATGCTTTCTACTAGAAATAAAAAAGCATATCTGACTCTAATAAAACAAGTTATTAAACATCTTTGACCTCCAGAAATATATGCTTTGAGCCAAACTTTGTGCCCAAGCATGGGACAGTCTCTATTTGATCCAAGCTGTTTTGTCAAATTTGAATGTATTGTGCAATACTATGTTTAGTATGAACATTAGTAAAACACTCAGTGGCAGAACTGTAAATCACTTTTTGGTTGTTTAGATGAAGATTTGTGACCTGTTTTTACCTCTTTCAAGGCGAGGCTCTCCAAACACTTTAAGAAATGACTGGTAATAATACTGGTCTTGAAATCCCAAATCTATAATTTGAGGGAGTACAGCTCAGATGAGAAATTACTTTTACCCTGAGCCAGTTCTAAAATAGATTATGTTGGCTGTGGTTCTGCTAAAAAATAGATCAGAGAAAACAAGGCATCATCAAGTCTTCCTCTACATGGGATAAGTGAAATAAGTGGTGGCAAACTGGATTTATCTGACTACAGAATAATAAGCTCTTTCTTGCTGAAGGTTTCCAATCAGCACTTCTGATGGGAATGAGAAAGGGCATGTTAATCCTGACAAGCTACAGATTTGAGTAATCACTTCAGTGACAGATCCAAGAAAGCATAATCTTTTCTCAATTAAATACATATTTCTTACATAATATGGAGCTCATGATGAGGATGCTGTATCTATATGACTTCCCCCTTCTCTCAGCCACATCTTCATGGGTATTATACAGAGAAATGCTATCAGCTAAATGCATAAACACTCTAAAGAGACACTGTGTCACCCTTTGAGTTTGCTGTTGGTGGTCATAACCTGTGAACATATTTCTTTTTGTAATTTGTTCATATAAACTTTTTTCTGGCTGTAAAGAATTACTTCAGGCTTTTTACAAAAGTATATTTTGGTACAAGGAAGACCCATGTCCTCCAGACAAGAAGCATTTCCTCTAAAAATATTTACAGATGAAAGAATATAATTTCTTTTTTCCACAGTATTGAGGCATCCTGATACAGCCTAATAACTTACAGCAGGACCAAAACCACACAGAGATTTTACAAAACCAAGGGCTGTGGTGCCTGGAGGCAGGGCAAATTTGGGATGAAATTTCACTGTCTCAGTTTAAGTATCCAAGCAGAAAAAATTAGGAACTTAGACCTGGACACCTTATGAATCAATTCAAAGGTAAATTACCCCCCACCACTCTGCATGTCACTGCACATATACTGTGTCCTCTACCTGCTGATTAATTGAAATCATATGCAGCTTGCCTGCTTATATGTGACAATGCAATCATAGTAAACCAGACAGGAAACAAATTAATTTGCGTAGGGTTTACAGTTCTCTGGATGAACTAGATTACATACTTACACAAGGTTTTTTATTATTTTAGGGCAACTTAATTAAGCTAGTGCAACTTTCAAGAAAACAGGCAGGTTAAAATTTCCAGAAGATAAACATCATCTCAATGTTTGATCTTTATTCCTGTGAAACATGTGCATAGAGTTTTCTAGTTTTATAACAATACTTTTAATCTATATGCATTTTTCCAATTTTACATTCTGCTTTTCTTGAAGTATATTAAATTTTAAAAATTAAAATAATCTAACAGCATGAATACATCTATAGAACCTTTAGTTGCTTGAAAGTTCCTTCAGCAGTAAGCCACTACAGTGAAGACCAGGAGACACATAAGTGTAATGAAATGCAAGTTCTTCTTAATTACCAACAAGATTTAAAAATCACAGTAGCAAAAGTGATTAAAAATTCTAAAAATGTCAGCAAAGCTATTCCATGTGCTAATACTTGCATATCAGAGTAAATCCTATTGTTTTGGTGCCATATACTGTGGATGGATGGCAATGACAATAAAACTTGGCCATATACAAAAAATTTCCTTGTGAAGATTGAAAATTCTATGTTTTCCCAGGTATTTGATACATTCTGAGTATACTATTGACTGTCAAATATTTACTTTATGCTTTGCAAACAGAATTTCCTATCTAGGCTCAAAACTAAATAGCATTTCATACATTCAAATTCTGTATTTTAGGTATGATGGTAAAAATGCTATGCCAGGAGAGCACAAAACCAACTATAACATTATTCATTACTAGTATTAATTTGAAATATAAAAATATCAAGATCTTATGCAATGTGCTGAGACACAAATTTAATTTTTCATCCCTTATAATCAATCTTGTAATATTAAAACATATGTTTTGTATAGATGCTTTGAAATACTGCATAGAAATTTAGATTTCTGCTATGGAAATATAGAAAATTATTTAACGAACCTACAGAACAGCAATAATTCTGTGTACAATTATAGACCTTCAAAGAAACACATACAAATCAGCATTACATTATACAGATTGTTAGTGAGTTTATCCTGTTTAATTTTTATTGGTCCCTTTTAAAAAAAGAGCTGGTCTGTTGTAACTTATTTCTTCAG